TAGCATGTGCAAAGAGGTGTCTTTTTTTAGCTGCTGATGTCTAAAGAATGATGGTGTGATATGAAGAAACAGAAGTCTGCCTATCAATCCACTGGAGACCTGTGTTGCTTAAAATAGCAGGAACTTTTTGTTGAAATAATAGGGATTAACAATTTCAACAACAGTGATTCTAAACCCTAATCTGTCTCAATTTTTTTACTTTTCACGTCAGCAAAATGTACTCTGTACTTCTCATATAAATTTGCTTGCTCATATTGGAAGAAAACCACAATATTGTTAAGACCATGTGTTTTTATGTTTGACGGTTGTGGTATAATTACTACAATTTTAAATAAAATGAACCTTTCTACATACAGTATACAGAATTGCCACTAACTCTTTTTTTACCTGATTTATATGATTATATTTTTTAGGTAGTAAGAGTTAAAACTATAAAGTTATAGTTTTAAAAATCAGAATAACATTGTGTGATTATGAAAAGGCTACACATCTTTAATGTAAAATGTAACATAACATCCTGTTTTGTTTTTTGTTTTCAAATACAGACCCACAGGATGACAATAAAATTGGCATTGATGGAATTCAGCAATTTTGTGATGATTTAAGTCTGGACCCTGCTAGTATCAGTGTTTTGGTCATAGCATGGAAATTCCGGGCAGCCACTCAGTGTGAATTCAGTAAAAAAGAATTTGTAGATGGCATGATGGAGCTGGGGTAAGTATAACAGTTTTTAATCAGAATTCCATTTTTTTCAATATCAAAATAGTTTACATCAAAACTGATTTTGTCAAATTGGTTAAAAATTCAATTATTTGAAATATACAAAGAATTATGCAGGTATCTAAAGCATGCTTGTGGCATTAAAATGTAACAGTAACTTGCCTAATTTATTATGCAAGGACTATAAAAATGTTTTGACATAAGCCTATGGTGCATAAATACCTTAAAATTTATAAGAATAATCCAGTTCCTCAGTTCTGAATTTATTCCCATCCACAAACCATATTTTGCATTCAGTTGGAGCGCTTTCTAAATAACTGACTCACTATTTCTTTCAACTGAAAACTAATTTATTTTTTTAAAGTGGTCTTGCTGAAGGCAGGCAGTTCTGGGAGCAGCAGTCTTGCCATTTGAGGAGAGTAAAACACAAATATTGTGCGATACTATTAATATATGTTTAATTGATTTCAGTGACAACTGGTTACAGATAGTCTCAGCTTAAAATGATTCCTCCCAAAACTACATTTTTTAAATTATAACGCCCATTTGCCATTTGGTCATGGAATCACATTTTGAGTACTTGGCAGCTGGTTTAACTTTATGGCTGTTTGCAGTGATTCGCAGTCATGTGACCATCATTTGTAGTGTGTTTTTTTCATTTGCGTCTGGTTTGCAGCAAAAAATATCCATTGGGGAAAATTGATTTGCTTAGCAACAGCAGTGTTTGCTTAAGAAATATAGTGTTTGTTAAATTACCACCACAAAAAATGTCAAATAATCAGGTAGGCACATCGTGCCTTGACTTACAACTGCAATGTCTTATAATTCCGGGCTCAATTAATTTGGGGACTATCTATATTCTTGGTACCGGTATGTATTCAGCCTTGTCTCTTAGCTCTGATTTAGACATTATTATAGCTATAGTTTAAAAGGGTAATATTAATTAAGGGTATTTAATGAATTACTAAATTAATTATGTGTTCAGTATATGGATTAAGATGACTAAAATGCTTAGAAAAATTAAAATGTCATTGGCTCTAACCCCCCCCCCCAAGTTAGTACCAAGTATAATTCACTGAGAATACTTTTCCAGAGATGAGTCTTCCACTGAAAAGGCCCATTCCCAAGTATCTGCTGTAGACATCTTGGCCTATAAGGCACCCAAAGCAAAGTCCCTGAAGATGATCTCAGATGATGACCATATAATTAATACTGTTATTTCAGGCATTAAGATCCCAAACTATGAAAACTTATACAAATTTTTACTAATACCTTGAATGATGAGCAAACTGGCGCTGCCGATAATCATGTAAAATAAATTTACTTTCATACTGTAGTGCTAATTCCAATTCATACCCTGGCTGAACTATTTAATACTAACTGTAGTTTTTGTCCCACCTTGAAGATTAGTCTCGTATAAAACACATAGTAATTTACATAAAAAATTATCAAGGCATAAATTAGCACAGGTAAACTGTCTGTGTCAAAATAGTACTACAACTCACCCAGTAATCTAAACCAAGAAAAGATACTCCATTCACAGAGCACATAATGACAAAGATTGATACAGAAGTTTTTCAAATTAGGAAGAGTGCAATCTCCTTTAAAATAGGCTGTACATTACTCATCTGGACAAATAAACCATCTACCAATAGCATCTCTATGTCTGGACTGAGCTTTCTTGACTGTCACCCAATTACTTTGACCAAGTACAGCATTTTGTTTTTTCACTGGATTTTATGAAAACAAGAATGTTGTACATCAGCAACATAGTAATATTTTACTCTAAATTTCTGAATGACCTCTCTGAATAGATTAATGCAGATGTTAAACCTTAGGGAAGATAAAAGGGAATTCAGAAGCCTATACTTATTCAGATCTAGATCTGAATTTTTTCATCATAGTCTTTATGACTGAAGGCCCGCTCCTTCACTGATGAAGTTCAAGTTTATTTAAAAAAACATAAAAAGAGATTGGAATGAAAGGTATCAAACAAACGTTACTTCTAAAATGCAAATGTGCTACAGTATGACAAAATATCTCTTAACTAGCTTATAACCTCCACCCAAATACTCCCATCCTGCCAGATGTAATAAGCTATTGTAGCTAAAGTCAAGTGAGGAGGTAAATTTCTCTCTATCAAGCATTTTGTCATCAGAATTTAACAAATGAAAGTCATAAAAAAGACTTTTATAAATTGAACTGTCAGAAATGCTGAGTCTTAAGTATATGTATAATTGATTTTATCCTCAAAGCCAGCACACCACATTGTATTATCAAGGATTCTGTGAAACTTTATGCTGGGCCATTCTTAGTAATGCCCAAAGTACCTCCATCGCTGCCATATACTAGCCTTTAATAATGAGCTCTTACTAGTATTTAATCAAATTTTGATTTTTTTTTTACTTCTATATATAACTGCCTTCCAAATTGCTTATAGAGCCGAGGTGGTGCAGCAGTTATAGTACTGCAGGCCACTTTAGCTGACTATGTTCAGCAGGTCAGCGGTTCAAATCTCACCGGCTCAAGGTTGACTCAGCCTTCCATCCTTCCGGGGTAGGTAAAATGAGGACCCAGATTGTTGGGGGCAATGTAAATATATATATACATTGCGTACTGGTGTACACCGCTTAGAGAGTGCTTGCACTTAAAGCGGTATATAAGTCTCATAAATAAATAAACTGCATAAGTCACGTCTGCATTTACAGAATAATCAAGACCTTTGACAGGAGCATCCATCATATTAGCTAAAAGATCTAGAGTTTTATCCATTGAGATCTATTCATTCCAAGGAGGACTATCCTGGTGTTTCCTCAGCGAAAGGAATAATTGCTGTAACTCTAAATTTTAATGGGAAGTGGTTCTGCCACAGCAAGGGAACAGCTCTTCCAACTTCAGAGATCCAATTATCTTTCTAATGTCTGAAGAGGCCAAAGGATGTAAGATCATATACAGTGTAGATAGGGAGGCCAAGCAAATTTATAAGATTTGCCTGTGTTTTATTAAATATAATGAGACCTTTGTGCAGAGTTTGTCAGAATGTGCACAATATTAAAATTAATAAGTGTGCCAGAATATTGTATCATTTTTCCAAGAAATCTTATTAGTTCCTTGTACATAGAACAAGAAGCCACAATAAAATATAAATTTGGAGAAGTAGAATTGTCCCAAATCAAGAAGAAATGAAATAGTTGTAATTGTTCTTATATCTTTTAATTGGTGTAATGCTCTAACATTTGTCATAAAAATGGTATTACATTGAAATAAAAATGGACATGGGTCATTGAATATTTATCAGACAGTGGATGAACACAAAAAGTGACATGGTAGTACTCCAATTACACATGCCCACGCAGGATGGAAAGGTGGATTTACAAAAATGTATTGGTCCAAACTGCAGTACTATAGCAAAATACTAGATGAAATACAAATATTTGTTGAAATTATCATTTTAAATATCAGCACTATTCAGATGAATATGATGATAAAGCGAAAGTAATGTGTTTAATTTACACAGAAAATAGATTATATGAATGGCAAGATGGGAAGGGATGAGATATGGAATTAAAGTTGAAGGTCGAAACACTAACAGTTTGAAAGATAATATTAGTTTCTAGGGAACTTTCACTAGGGAAAGTGAAAAATTTGGCTAAATGTTAAATTTTAAGAAGACAAAGGAAATGACATCCAGTGGACTAAATAAAGACTGATTGTCTCCATTAAACAACGCTCACTAAACAAAATCTTACGTAATTAGAGAATATCATGTCAGCAAATTAGTAAAAACAATCATGCTTGAGAAAGTTGAACAAAGTAGCAGAAAAGAACAATAAATGTCATCAAGAAATAAGAATGCCTTAAAAGACCGATAGATTCTCACTGATTGCGATGGCAAGTGTTTTTCCATAGTCACCACGGATTGTAGCTATGTTGATGTCACCTAACTAAATGTTTATACTTATCCATTATGTTTAAATAAAACTATAGCTGATTTTTATATTTTCCAGCAAATGCTTAATTGTTGATCTTACACCTGTGCAAAAAGCTGTAATTCAGTTACAATCCTAGGACAAGTAGTTTGTATACAGATCAGATATCTAATCCTCAACTTATGACCACAATTAGAACCAGAATTTCTGTTGCTAAGTAAGACAATTGTTAAACGAGTTGTGCCCAATTTTACATCCTTTTGGCCACAATTGTTAAGTGAATCACTGGTTGTTACGTGAATCATGAGGTTGTTAAGCGAATCCTGATTCCCCCGTTGACTTTGCCAACTGGGAAGGTCACAGATGGTGATCCCATGACCCTGGGACACTGCAGCTGTCAATTGCCAAGCGCCAGAATTTTGATCATGTGACCATGATCCTGTAATGGTTATAAGTACAAGGACTGTTTGTTGTAAGTTGAGTACCTGTATAAGACAATACTGAACAAATATTATAAAATCTCAGTATGACTTGCTTGTGCACCTAAAAATAAAATACACTAATAATTAAATTGAAATAATATTAACGCTATCACAAGGATGTGATTTTTGCCCACATTGCTTACTAGGAAGTCAGATGAATTTTCTTGTTTTCTGCTAACTAAAAGTGGACTTTATCATTATCAGAAGTACAGTAAGTGGAGAATGGATAGCTGCCTATGGTAATTTTGTTATAAGATGATGATTTCTTAGTTAAGAATTACTGTTTTCAATTTTACATATATACTTGATCTACTTTAACTATTGGCAGAAAAATAGCATAAAACAATAGTTCAAGTTAAATTACAGTATGAGAATGTTAACATGTAAGTAGAAACTATTGTAGAAAACTAAGTTAGCTGAAGAGTGTGTTACACCTTTATCGTATTTATTGACCACAAATAAATGCCTTTACACCATGTTTTAATCCTGGTAAGGGTAAAATGCCTTTATTTTACTGCACTTATTATAGCTGCCTATTATTTGCAAAATCGTTCTAATAAAAATGAATATGTATTTTATGAATTATGCAGCACCAGCTAAATGAAATATTATGGAATAATATAAGTTTGTTATATTAACATCAACTGAATTAGTCTTAAAATGGAACTATTTCTTGTATATTGCAATTTTCCATTTTTAAACAAATATTTTATAACTTTTATATTTATATTTCAAAATTCTAAAACAATATAACTGATACTGAGTAAACTGAAAAGTAGCATCTTTTTACCAGGTGTGATACCACAGACAAGTTAAAAACTCTTTTGCCAAGACTGGAACAAGAATTAAAGGATCCAATGAAGTTTAAAGATTTTTATCAGTTTACTTTTAACTTTGCTAAAAACCCTGGGCAAAAAGGTTTAGGTGAGTTTTTTTTTTAATTATTGTGTTTTCAATAAGAGATTTTATAATATGATTTAACAAAATGAAAGCTTAGGTGAGACTCACTTGTAAATTTTTTTAGGCGAGATATTAGGTTGGCAGGGAAGGCAACATTATTGTGATCCATGTCTAAGTGAATGGTTTAACTTACATGTTTTGAATAATAAATGTCACATTATTTTAAAAATAGACAAAATATCTTGATAATGGGGTAGTATATTACAGTTTTTCATTAAGTAGAAATCAATATATTAGCCATTATTTTTACAAGGATAGTTTTTAAAATCTCAGTTCTTACAGCTTTTGGCAATTCTGTCAAGTAGAATTTAGGATATTCAGTCAAAACATGTGGACTTTTATGATGTTCCAGAAACAAATTTATTTTACAATATTCTTTCTCTTTCTGGTCTCTCATACTAAATTAGCATACATGTTGTATATAAATCTAAGTTGCTATATCTCAAAGACAAGTTTGTACATTTCAGCAGACTCTGGTGGCTTTTCTTTCTTTTTCTATATAAAAACATTTGTTTCAGTTTTTGATTCATTGGCCCCTTTAGCTAAGGCAATGATGGATAGGTTTATGATCTGTAGGGCCCTTGGTGCTGTGAGCTTGGTTGTTTTCTTGCAGACATTTCATTATCAAATTAGGTAACATTATCAATGCTAGAAGAGTGGGATTTGCTCTTATTTTATATACTAATAGCTTGCCCTATCTGTTAGTGGGGGTGGTCTTGGTGGTTCCTTGGCTAGGCTATTGTTTACCTGTTCCCTTGTTTATCTGGGTTGGTAGTTCTTGATCGGGGTATTGTTTGCTTCTTGATTATAGAGTATTAATCTTCGTGTTAATCTCTCCTCACCTGGGTGTTGATTGCTGATGAGGTGTTTTGGTCTTTTTTGTTTCCTTTTTGTTTATTGTTTCTTTTGAATGGTATATAGATGTTGTTTATTTCTGTGTGCCTGTTGATGGCTGATTTGTCTATGTACCATGTCTTGGAACTCTTTGGTGTTTTTGGACTTGGCTTCACAGTTCCCAAGTTAAATTATGATTAAGTCTGATCATATGTTGTGAAATTAAGGAGTTTTCATTATGTCTTCTAACTGTTAGTTGGTATTAATAGGTGAGCTTGGCTAGTCTTCTGTCTATTTGTCCTACATAGTCCTTGCACTGTGGGTTGTAGATGACTCCTGTTTTTCCTTCTGGGGCTGCTGGTTCTTTTGGTTTACTTAGGATGTTTTGGAGGACTTTAGTTGATGTGTATGTTGCTATGATGCCATACGGTTGAAATAGTTTAATTTTTATCTTTTCTTTGCACATTTATGAATTAAATGTGTTTAAATATTAAATGTTTAGAGGCTGTGTTAAATGATTCAGTTTTTCAGGACCTTAAACTCTGCATCCTGTGTTAAGGCAACTAACTGTGTTCTAGTTCTTATATATTATTATATATAAATGGTTATATTTGACAGATTAAGCAAAGTTGAAATCCACTTGGACTGCACATAGATAAAGCTAATCTGGTTAATGTATACAAACATGGCATTAGAAACAGTACTTATGACAGAAATTGGAGCTAACTTTCAAAATTCAGATCCTCTCTTAAAATAATCTAATGCACCAAAGGAATGCTAGCCTTATCTTGTAGAGACATATACGGATTGTGAATGCCATGCAAAAGATAGCACATGCTATCCTGGAAAGGAAATATTTCAAGTTTACACTGAACATGCATTTATATACAAAACAAATTACGGTATTGTTGTCATATTTGTTGTTTGTCACAACAAAATGTGATAAGAAAAGACTATAGTTAGTAGGTATTTTTGAAAAAGCAGTATGATAATCAAATATAATACAAATCCACTTTTGTAATGTTATTTTGGGGGATTTTTAGTTGCTTGGAATTGACTTGGTAAATTAGGAAGAATTGTCACTCATGGCAAATGAGCATTGCTTTTAGATTCATTCTCATTGTTTTATTCCACTAATTACTTAAATATCACAGTTACCTAAGTTAAAATTAAAATTGATTTGGCACACCACTTTTGTAGAATTTAGAAGTTGCTTAGAGTTTTTGGTATTCATTGGTTAAAGAAAAGCATATCATGTTATATATAATATTGTAGCTACCATTGTTTACCTTGTAAACAAATGATATATCAAGTGAAATGAGTACAGTATAGTCATCATGCATGGACAATCTTCAAGGAGGACAATCATTTGTAGATTTACAAGACAAATGGTTACAATGTCATAGTGCAATAAAGGTATTTCCTTAGTGTGGTACCTCAGCACATATCTAATATTTTACCATAGAAGCCATTAAGCTTTGACCATACTATTTTAGGGACTGGATGATCTCTGGAAATTTATGCAGACAGTTGCATAGTGACGATTGCCAAAACTATTTTCCCCCCGTTTATAAACAAAAGAAAAATTTACTGTCCATTATATGTAAAGGAAATAGTTATTCCTGTTATGTCCATTTTTCATTGTAGACTCAATTCAGATTTAAAATACCTGGTTTAATATGCCATGCTTTAAGCCCATGTTGTCATATCTCTTTGGCTGCTCATTTTGATATTTTTTTGTTTCCTTAAGCTGAAAGTTTATGTAGCATTTTAATGATTTTGACTTAAGTTTGGAATAAATATGCAAATTGAACTTATTTTTTCTCTGAGATATTTAAAGTATCAAATATGGAGAAAAGATGGGCTTATCTGTACAAGGCTCCATGCTTATTCACAATACTCTATAATTTATTAAAACAAAAACATCCTCAAATTTGTCCTGTCTTTGGTTGGCATGTTATTTGATAATGCATTTAATTTTTTTTTTTTAAAAAAATCAAGCAAGTATGTACTATTAAGATTTTCAGCTGTTCCACTGATTTGTTTTTATTGATATGGGCTATCTATTTATCATTTATTTATTTGTTTGTTTGTTTGTTTGTTTATTAAATTTATATTCTGCCTTTCATTCAGGAGCTTATTGTCAATGTAATTTCTATTCAGAGACACAGATATTAGTACTCAAATGTCTATTCTGTTTTGTGCATACTTTCCACTGATTGAGTTGGGGGCAAAAAGCTGTCTCAATAGGTATAGTTTTATTTTTTTTAATGAAGGATTATATATTGTCAACTTCCAGTGGAGGCATGGCAAGCTAAACACATCTCTGTGGAGAGTGAAGATAACAACCACGGCAAAGACCAAAGAACCGGCGAGTAGACCAGTTCTTTGGAACCTGTCCAGATAAGAAGACCGGAGATCACTCAAATGTGATTTGGATGGTTTGTCCTTGTGAGGACACTGCAAGATGGTGGTGTCTAATAGATCTGAGTGCCAGGAAACAAAGGAAATAATCATCAAGCTCACAAGCACCAGCTTTAAGGACACTAAATTTGCTAAACTAACTTCTAATCATATGTGGAAATTGCTTATTTAAATATCTTCAGTCTAAAAAGTCACTTGGTGAGTTTATTTCTAAACAAATCAAAAATTAACTCAATTTGAAATAAATGGATTTTTGTGAGAATCAGAATTATTTTGACTATTTCTAGTCATAACAAAGATAAGAGACCTTTTGATTTAAATTGAACACCAGAGGGGGCAAAAGTTCAGGGGAAAAAAGAAAAAAAAACTTGCCTTTAAGATTGTGATTTACAAAAAGATACAAAATACTATAACAATTGAAATATTAGAGGTATTTGAAGTATGGGGCCAGAAATTAGTAGCGACAATATGAGTAACAATGTTTGCTTCTAAGGATTGAGTTGACCTAAAAGATGTTGATGAAGGAATGACACGTGAAAAAAAATGTTTGATGTAGTAATACTGGAATCAGAAATAGTGGATTTAAAAAAATGTGAATTACAAAACAGACAAAAGATGCAAATTGGAAATACAAATGACAGAAAAAGTGTGGATTGCAAAACAGACAAGAGATGCAAATTGGAAATACAAATTATAGGAAAAGTGTGGATTATAAAATAGAGAAAAGAACAACCCTGATAATGACTTTTTATTGAATATACAAAAGAAGCTAGTTAAGGTTTTGAAAAATCAAAAGGGAAATACAAAAAACAAACCAAGACAATGACCTGGATAATGACTTTCCACTGGATTTACAAAACAGATCTGTGAAAGCCTCGAAGAAGTCTTTGGGATAGGAAAAAGACATATAACATTTGAATGAATCAAAGATCAAGATTGTTGCAAGTAAAAGAAAGGAATATAAAGCTGGTTTGTTTGATCAAGGTTAAAATAAAGCTCTTGTTAACTGTAATGGACTTTTTGCTGACCCCAGAACTGCAAAGTTGATGATTTATGGTTTTGCATATAGAAGGGATAGATTATGGGAAGAAGAAATACATATTTGTAAGTTTATAGGGAGGTAATGAGTTATCAAATTTTGTTTTTCCTTCTAATGAAGATTGGAAGTCACTTCTTTTTACATATTTCTTTTTATATTTCTTTTTACTTCTTTCCTTTTTTCTGTTTTTTTGTGAGTTTAATTTATAATTGCTTTTTCTGTTGTATTTAAAACATTAATAGAAATTAAAAATACATTTTCAAGTAAGCTTCGCTGCAATATATGCATCAAGGGAAAATATTAGCATAAGTAAGAGTATGAAAGTATTTGTCTCGTAAAAATATGCATTGTTTTGGTAATCTCTCCCCAAATTTCAGTTTGTGTACAGTAGAGATAGCTCAAGATAATGAACAGTGCACTTGTATCAATGATAACCTCTGAGAAATACTTCTGATAAATTTCAGTATAAGACTAGAACGCTGTGTAGTCTTTTACTCACATTCTTCTAAGTAAACATGCATTGGAGTATTATGCAAAAAAGGAAATTTTTAGTAGAATAATTGGGGTACATTCTGAAAAATGAGATAAGACAGGAGAAAAACTATTCTGTGATACTTGAAATAAATATGGTTATTCTCCATGTATTTAATAATTTCCCTTTCTGTCACATTCAACATTACAACTTGGGAGCTCGTACTAAAAGACTGTAGTAAAAGGGTTGATAATTTGCATGAATAAGGTGAAATGTTGTTTGAGCTATAGTGTCATAACATAATAACAAGGAAGAGTGATGTTTTGTATATCACACATCTGATATACAGCATGGTAGGACAAACGAGGCCGTGAGACCTCATTAGACCCATTCCATATTTACAGGTCTTATGCCAGTGGTTCTCAACCTTTTTAATGCCACGACCCCCAACCGGTCGTTAGTCAAGGACTACTCAACCGGTTGTAAGTCGAGGACTACTCAACTGGTGCAGCACCGTTTACAGAATGGGACTTTTGGTGGGCTCAGCAGGGCAGAGACAGCCTGGACAATTCCTATTGGCTTTTGAAAGCCCATAGAATTAGACTCTATTCAAGAGAGTCTATTCTATTGGCTTTCAAAAGCCAATAGAAGAAAAGGGAGTAGCACAGCTAAGGAAAAGGGGGAAAAATGGCGGACTGCGTTGTTTGGCGACCCCCGTGAAATGGTCGTTCAACCCCAAATGGGGTCCCAACCCACAGGTTGAGAACCACTGCCTTATGCGTATTTATTTTTAAACCTTGAAATGGTTTAGAATTTGTACTGGCACAAACTGTTTTTTAAAAATGTAACTTAAAATCTATAGAACTACAGATGGTCCTTGACTTACAACCATTCGTTTAGTGACCATTTAAAGTTAGATGGCACTAAAATATGAATTAGGAGAGTTTTTTACACTTACAACCGTTGCAGCATCCCCATAGTCACGTGATCCAAATTTGGATGGCAACTGGTTCATATTTATGATGATTTCAATACCCTGGGATCATGTGTTGCGACCTTCTGACAAGGAAAATCAATAAGGAAGCCAGATTCATTTCATGTGTTATTAAATTAACAACTTCAGTGATTCAATTAACAGCTGTGGCAAGAAAGGTTATAAAATAAGGCAAAACTCACTTAACTGTCTTAGCATCATAAATTTTGTGCTCAATTGTGGTTGTAAGTCAAGGATTACCTGTACTGAATTTTCTTGCCATATATAACATAAAACCAAATATTTTCTTTCATACTTTTCTGCCTAGGTGGGGATATTGGAAACTCTAATAACAATTAACCTGGATTATAAATTACATTTATGTCTTTCAGATCTAGAAATGGCAATTGCATATTGGAATTTAGTGTTATCAGGAAGATTTAAATTTTTAGATCTTTGGAATAAATTTTTATTGGTAAGTATCCTGCAGGATTATTCCAAGTGTGTTTGTGCAAATTCTGAATAGGAATATAATAAATTTGTGTAACACATCATATAGGAAGAAGGTTTGTGCATTAGAGCTTATTGATAGAAAATTGGGAGCAATTCACCAATGTGTCATCTGCATAATTACATAATTAAGATCATTTGCATCAGTTGTGCAAGCTGCTTTGAAAACTACAGATTTTGTCCATTATTTCTGGGTCAATTTAAAATAATGGATTTTGTCTATTACAAAAATTCTTTTGATTGGGGTCCATGAAGTTGATGTTTTACAGTAATTTTACTGTAATTTGTAAAATTACTGCATCTCGATTCATTTTAGTCTCTTACTCTAATAATTCTGGTCAGTATCTTCTTAATAAAGATTTTACTAAATCTGTAAATCTAAATTGAATTCATACTAGATTTGTTTTCTTACATAGGAGCATCATAAAAGATCAATCCCTAAGGATACTTGGAACCTACTTTTAGACTTTGGAAATATGATTGCAGATGATATGTCAAACTATGATGAAGAAGGTAAGTGATATAGATATTCAGACTTAAATATTGTTTTGAAATATTGTCCTTAAAAATTCTGCTTTTAATTAGATACCTGATTAGCAATATTTGGAATATAGCTCTTAAGTGGGTTGGCAACCTTCTTCTCTATTGGAGCCAGAAGCCATGCTATTTTCACTGTTCCTCTTGTGCTGAGTGTCATCAAAATGGCTGTCGAAGGAGGTGGCAAATACTCCCTCCTTCTTAGTTGCAGGTCAGGTAAATATATTTCTTTTTAGGACAATGGGCCAGATGATTATGGGTGGTAGGTCACATCTTGCCTGTGGGTCATAGTTTGCTAGCTCCATATAATCAGTGGGATTAATTTGGTTTCCATTATTTTAGTGACTTCCTATGAATAAGAGTTAATTTTTATTTGTTTATATGTTTTATAAATTTTATTTTGTTTTTTATTTATTTATGAGACTTATATACCGCTTTAAGTGCAAGCACTCTCTAAGCGGTGTACACCAGTAAGCAATGTATATATATATTTACATTGCCCCCAACAATCTGGGTCCTCATTTTACCTACCTCGGAAGGATGGAAGGCTGAGTCAACCTTGAGCCGGTGAGATTTGAACCGCTGATCTGCTGAACACAATCAGCTAAAGTGGCCTGCAGTACTGTACTCTAACTGCTGCGCCACCTTTGTATATATACATTGTATATATGTATGTACTGCAAAGAATTATCATTCTAAAATGTATCTAATGTACACTGTATTTAAATTAGGTGTTAAAAGTCTTTCTTCAGATTATTGTTATATTTTCCCATGAAGAAGATGTTTTAATTTGTTTTAATTTTATAGATTTAGATTTATAGGGCTGCCCATCTTGCCATAATGACTCTGGGGAGTTAGCAATACATAAAAATACCATACAAACTAAAAAAATCATAGTGACTATTAAGATAAAAACAAATCTAATCAAAGAAAAATACCTCAGGAGCTCCAGGTAATTTCTTGATTCCCCCATGTGTGACAACACATCAAAGTCTGTCAGGCTTTTTGGAAAATCAGCAGGATTGGGACCAATTTAATCTTGGTGGGCATGGTGTTCCAAAGGACAGGTAATGTGACAGAAAAACTACAAGTCCAAGAGAACCTTTAGATCACAGGCCTGGTCTTTCAAAGGGAGAGCCACCTCATCCAGAACCAAAGTTGGAGCTTTTAAAAAGGTTTATAATTTTTGAATAATGATTCTACCTTACTGGGATTCAGCTTGATCCTTTTTTGACCAGCCTCCAGTATCAAGACAGGACATCCACTGCATCTCTTGTGTAATCCAGCTGAGAGGTGTATACTTGTGTTCATTAGTATTTTGATGGTATGTGTCCACAACCAACAAATGACTTCTAGCACTTTTATGTAGTTGCTAAATAATGTGAAGAAGAGGACTGAGCCTCAGCCATTCTCTTCCCTATTCCTGTTGACTGGAATTACCTGCTTTGAGAAGAATAGAAATGGGGCAGTAATTGACTTTAGGTTAAGACATATCACCAACTCCTCCAAGTGATACAGATTACTATAAGATTAGATTGCTGTAAATATTCAGAGCCTTTACTCAGAATTGTTTAATTCTTCTTCAGGAGCGTGGCCAGTCCTAATAGATGATTTTGTGGAATATGCAAGACCAGTAGTCACAGGAGGAAAACGTAAAGCTTCCTAACCATGACTTCTCAGTGGACTAATTTTGCAGTCTGAACTGCATCGGGTAATGAAGACTTTTGGCCAATAACTGTGCACACACTGTCTCTGATTTCAAAAGTTGAGGTGGGATGCCACTGACAAAACAGAAATCGCTACTTCTGCTGCAAGAAAATGATGGCTGACTCATGGACACTACAAGAAGAAATTCAAAAGATAGCTCAGGCTATCTGTAGGATACTGGCTTCAATTACTGTACTGGTTGTATTATATAGGATGTAGATTTTGCATGATTTTATACTTTGGAAAAGTTTAACTCGAGGCCATTTTAGTAAAATTTTAACAGCACAGCATGCCATTCAGTTCATAATACAGGGTGAACACCAGCAGTTACATAAATACAACTGTATTATATTGTACTTATATTAAAAGCAGTATTTGTGATATATAAATTAAATCTCTAAATAGTCATCTTTACAGTTTATTCTTTTAATTCAAGAGCTAAGGAAACAATCACCTATTCCAGACGTTACCATTTTTTTTATTAGAGTTAATTTATTTTCTCTTACATTCTTATAACAATATCAAACTATTCATATTGGGAGTTTTAAGAAATGTAAACTTGTAAACTTTCCTACAATGAGCAATATTCTAAAATGTAACAGTAGCTAAAGTGAAGATAAATATTTCCACCTATCATTGAAACATTGAGAGGTTTCTATACTTATAGGAAATGAAAAACCAAGATTGAGCAAAGGTGGTTATTGATGGTCCTCACACACAGCTTGCAAAGCTGATTGAATTCAACTGCTGATCTTGTTGCAGCATAAATATTATGAGGTTTGTTGGAACTGTGTTTTATTTGAAACAAAGTTGTGCATTCCCTTATTACTAGTGGAATATGTTCATTTACACTTTATACGATTTTATACTCTTCAATCAGTACACGTGTTTAAATCAAAGTCAATTCAAATTGGAAGATGGTATCTTCAAGATCGTTAGTATCAAATATAATATGTTGTCTTATCTGTTCTTCACAAAAATCCCATGAAACAGATCAAAATTTCAGTTTGATACAGGTTGAAAGAGAAAAACTAGACCAATATAAGACAAGCCATTTGGAATTTGTCCACTCTTTAGGGCAAATCCAGCATGGTTCTTCTGTAGTGCCACAGGATCTATCCAGTAATTGCATAATAGCTTTGTAACATCATAGTGCAGGGATTGTAACAATGGAAATGCCAGTACAGGATGATGGGGCTGACCATAATAAGCATCAGTGCAATTTTTCTTTTGAAAACTAAATTCCAAGTCTTAAGGAGATGCTTCACAATCTACGAGAGGTTGTTAAAGCAATCATATCTTTTTCAAGGCTGTCATGGCTGTTTCCAGACATATGGCTATCCAGCTACTCACTTCTTTAGGCACAGCTTATTGTAAAAAGTACCTTTTTGGAAGGCACTGCCCAACCCTTTTAAATTCTCTGCCAAAGAGTTATGACTTGGAATAAAAATTAGCACTATTTTGCAACAGTTAAAATGTTTTATCTTTTTTCCAGCTTTATTACTGAAAGAAATTGAAACATTTTACTGAAAAAATAGTAAACTTGTATTTGGAAGCTGCATCTTCCCAGGCATTGTTAATAATAAAATAGTTTTCTTTCTAAAATAAAGTTTGCATTATTATAATAGGAAATCATTCAAGAATGCTAAACCTCATGCTGCTACACGCTAATTTTTATTATTTTGTAACTTGCTTTGTAAATATCTTCACACGTCTGCAAAGCTGTGTCAGTTTACATTTTACATTTAAACCTATCAATTTTAAATTAATAATTACAACTTCTATCTTTTCATTGTGAGGTAATATAAAACTTACTTAGTTATTTTTATCATTCACACAAACATCCTGTCAAGTTTTACAAGGAAGAAAGACAAGAAGATGGGAATAAAAAACATCAGTGAAATCTCTTCTGAGAAGTGCAGAATAATTCATCTATGTATATGCACAACAAACTGATTCTAATGCACAATTGCTGGGCAGGAAAATCAGTTCCAATTGTTTATATCATAATATAAATTTGCAATAAGACAGCATTTGATATACAGACAAATCTATGGCTGCTTCAGTTAAATGTAGGGGTTAGACGAGATTTGGTTCAGTAGTTTTTTAATTACTTTCTCAATAATGTTTAGATCTTCTGAATGTAATGTCCGTAAAATCAACGTGTTTCTGTGTTCTTTAAGGAAACACAATAAGGCAGTGATTCCAAAACTGCAGAAATGTACCAATTGAACAGCTTTAAAAATAAGTCTCTTAATTCAACATGTGTTTCTCAAGGGATAGAGTTACATAAACTGGAGAGACCAAATATTTCTTGGCTTGTTTTGTCCTGGGGCTTCTGAGTTTTGCAACTATACTTACTTGTGCTCTGCACACTTTCTAAGCTTGCAGCTTAAAAATAAATGGGAAAATATTTGGACTTAACAGTTTTATCTTAACCATTGGCTATCAGAGAAGCAATGGCATATGCATGCCAGGAAAGGCCAGGCTTCCCTTATACGGACAGTTCTTTGCAATGACACTATGGCTCCAATATAAAGTGTTGCTTAATCTAAGCTAGAAGGCAAAGGAACAAAGAAACATCAAGTGCCTGTTTGAGACCAAAGAGAACTGAAAAAGCACGTCATTTAACAATGGAGAAATTTAAGGCTGCTTTGTTACTAGCAGGGGTAGGGGATGCTTTGGGCTATCGAAATTTTATTCAGGAAAACAATGCTTTAGGTGCAAAGATCCAAGAGGAATTGAAAGAAATTGGAGGACTCGGGAACCTGGTCTTGTCCTCTGACAAATGGCCAGTAAGTGACAATACTCTGATGCACATGGCAACAGCTGAAGCTCTCATCACAGGTAAGAGGAAAAAACATTGTTATCTGGATGCAGATGGGAGGTTAGAAAGAGAACTGGAGAAGAGCTGTAATAATCATGTTTACTAGTTGAGCAGTGAGCTAATACTACCTTTAGTGAATGATGTTTAATAGGCCATGCATTTGCCCTAAATTTAAATAAGGTGAAAAAGAATGTAAATAAAGAAGGAAGTCTATGACTCAAATGCCACCTCAACCATGAACTCATAAAGTCACCTTTGGAGAGGCACTATGTGTATCTGTTTATTTGTGATATTTGAAATATCATACTTGTTTGTCTAAAAAGATTATATGAATAATACTAGGAATAAATTATTCCTAGTAAAAAATTAAACAATTATTTAAAACTCAAAATTAGCTTTATTTAATTTGTGCATCAAGCTGAATTCCAGTTAGCAAGGTTGCACATTAGCTCATTTTGGTTGTATAAATTTGGTTAAAAGAATACATTAAGATTGCATGATACACTGAGTGAATTTCCACAAATATGGAAAGAAAACTAATCTCAAATGCCAGTCCTGCAGCTCTTTGGTGTAGTAAAAATCAGTCTCCTGCATCAATAATAAATGATATAACATTCATGCAATTGTATTTTGTACCCAGTTTATGATGCACATTCAGGGGGACAGATATAGAGGGACAGATATAGATATCTTTGTTAAAGACAAAAGCATTTCCTAACTTGTATTGCTTTCTTATTTTTTATGTGTATTGTACAATCAGATGTGTCAAAGTCAATGAAATTCATTTAAATTCCTTTCTTATCTGACTGCTGTTCTAAAATTAGCTGCCACTGATCTGTTGATGAGAATCTTGAGTATTTCTTATCTAGCTACTAGTTAGCCAATGAAGTGAGATAGAGCTAACACCCTAAAGATAATGGCAAGATGTCAACCTATGAAAGCAAAGAATGACTAGCATACTTCTGAATATAGTCAATGATTAAATACGAGTCACATGTCTCTTGCTTCTTGACCTCTGAGCATAAAGGTTATCTGCAAGCCTTATCAGTCGGCTCTGCAACCATTTTTAGATACAGTAGTTCCAAATTAGCAAGGTCATATTTCTCTCAATATATAACATGACACCACTTGTCAGGATACACCTTAACCTTGATTTCTTCAATTGTATTTACAGGCAACAGCTATTCAGTGTCTTTGTCCGTTTTTATTCTAAATAGGAAATATGCTGTTTTTCTATTATAGAAAGCATTACTTGATAACCTTTAAAATAAAATTATATAGATAACAGGGAATACAGATGTTGATAGTTTATTGTTATCTACCAGTTGACAGGAAAAAAGCATTTGACAAAGAATAAATTAGAAACTAACCATGCTATCTGGAAACTAACCATGCTACCTTTCTAGAAAGATGGAAAATAGACACACATCCATTTTCTGCTTTTGTATTTGGGTAGTTCAGTTGCTTTGCCATACTTAAAAATATTTATTAGAAATGTAAAATGTTCATTAGAAATGTTACAAGCACAGTGGATGTTGCAGATGTAGTAGTAAAATATCCATTTTGACATTTACTATTCTCTCTTTTTCTATATTACAATATCTAACAAAGACTCATGGTGATGTGCAATTATTTTCTCAAACATAATTAAGAATGATCAATACAAAAACCGAAGCCATGAAACTATTTAAATTCTATAACAAACAAATTAATTCAAATTAAGCAAGATACAATTAATATATAAATAAATGGGCAGCCAATAAACAGATGTCCATCCTCAAATGGCTTTCTGGATAATTCTGTTTCCAGCCCTTAATAAAATACAGGAAGAAAGGTACCTTTGGCCATTTTAATTTTATTAGAATCCCAATTTAATTAGTACAGAAGCAGCTAATGACACTTTTACAGCAGCTTTGTTTATTATACCAATATAATTCCAATTTTATAAAAGGGTCTCTAATCTAGGCCACTAAATGAATACATGGCTACCACTGGTCAAATACAATAGTTCTCAGCCAGAAAAAAAAGAGCTACATTGATTTGTTCCTCCATGGGTGAGTACCAGTAGTGCTGCCATTCATCATGAACTAAACCGCTGCTGAGAGGTATTTTGCAAAACAGTGTTGAAGCACTATTCTTGAGGGCAGAGGCCAGCATAGGGTATGCCAGTAGAAAAACATGCTGGCAGCATTTCCACTCCTGATTCTGTCTCAACAAAAAGATGAAATATGGTCCTATGTCAGAACCCAGGGGTCGAGACAAACAGGTGAAAAGCCTCTTGCTGTCAGCTTTCCAATCTAACACATTGTTTGGAGAACTGGCACCAGAGACACCATCATTGCCACTTGTCTCCTCCCGGTTTACCTACCGTCCACGGGAAGAGAAGCAAAGGTGAGAGAAACGTGAATGTCCTTTTTGTGACAGTTTTCCATGTACCAAGATCAGTCTCCCCTTCCCACTTTTGCATTATCACATGGAAGTGATGTCTGCAGCACTTAAACTCCAAGTGAGGGTAAGCAACTCTTCAATTGCCACTCACATGCAGTAAGCCTGGCCCTCCAGATTTCTGAATGCATGTCAAAAATGGCAGCTCTCCAACCCTCCTGGTCAGATGGTATGCCAGGGCTGGTGAGCACAGCAAACAGCAGCACCCTGAAGGTGGCAAATCTTTAGCCTGGAGAGCTACTCTTGGGTTGCCATCCAGACAAGTCCTGGCAACCCTAGGATCTGCTGCCACTTCATATGTTACATATGAATTATATTGGTTCTCTGATGATGGGTCAGGGATGTGTTGAAAGTACATTGATAATTGATGTCCTCCAAATACTATTGCTGCATCTTCTACAGTTGGCAAGGTATGCAGAAAAACTCTCTATTTGATTTGCACAGCTGCTCAACTTACAAAAGTGGCTTTGAGTGGCTTATAAATGGTTAGAAGCACAATAAACAAAACCAGAAACCAAACCACAATGAAGATCCAAAACAAAATATATGAGGCCAACAATAGCTATACCATTTTTTTCAGTTCTGGATGATCTTATTTCATGCTCTGGCCCAATGCCGAGGGGACAAACTAAGTTTATGGAAGATCAGCAGAGCTGGAGCTATCAAAAACATGGGTAAAATTCTATTCTACAGGGTAAGCACTGTAACAAAGACGACACACATTCCAGGTCCTGCCAGGAGGTACTGTTTCATAGAGGGGACCTGAAGCGTGCCACTCTCTTGGATCTCCTGAGATGAGCTAACTAAAGATAGCTGATCATATGAATATGTTGTTGGAAAGTGGACTTGTTTTGAATTTTTGTAAGACAAATGAAAATAAGCAATTTTTAAAAATTGGATGCTAGAAGGAACTTGTTGTTGTTGTTGTTAATTGCGAAGTCATGTCCGACCCATCACGACCCCATGGACAACGTTCCTCCAGGTCTTCCTGTCCTCCACCATCTTCTGGAGTCCATTTAAGTTCACACCTACTGTTTCAGTGACTCCATCCAACCATCTCATTCTCTGTCGTCCCCTTCTTCTATTGCCCTAAATCTTTCCCAGCATTAGGCCTTTCTCCAGTGAGTCCTTCCTTCTCATTAGGTGGCCAAAGTATTTGAGTTTCAACTTCAGGATCTGGCCTTCTAAAGAGCAGTTGGGGTTGATCTCTTCAAGGACTGACGGGTTTGAACGACTTGCAGTCCAAGGGACTCGCAGGAGTCTTCTCTAGCACCATAGTTCAAAGGCCTCAATTCTTTTGCGCTCAGTCTTTCTTATGGTCCAACTTTCACAGCCATACATTGCACCTGGGAAAATCATGGCCTGTACTATACGTACTTTTGTTGGCAGGGTGATGTCTCTGCTTTTTAGAAGGAACTACACTTTTTAATTAAAGGAGAAGAACACATAAAACTAATTCATAGCTACAGCTATATTGAAGGACCATTTTGAAATATGGTGTCAGAAGTTAATATCAATAATGTCAACAGTGATGTTTGTTTCTATGGGTAGACTATTTCCAAAAAATGTTATGGAATAAATGGTAGAAGAGGAACAAGTTTTATTTGACATAGCAGAGACAGAATTGACACTAAAAGTGGATGTACAAATGACAGGCTATAAGAATAACATGGGAAAAGATGTCTCATTGGATACAAAAGAAATTGGTTGATGCTTTAAAAATCAAGGAGTAATTACAAATAATAAAAGAGATTGATCTTGATAATTGTTTTACATTAGATTATAAAAGAGGTTTCTTAAAGCTTGGGTTAATCTTATGAGAAGAGGCAAAAGTTCTACAACATTACAGTACTTGAATGAATTAAAGATTAAGTCAGTGATGGCGAACCTTTTAGAGACTGAATGCCCAAACTGCAACCCAAAACCCACTTATACATCGTCGAGTGCCAGGTGGGTGTGGCTCATTGAATGGGTGTGGCCAATTGGGGGTGTGGCCCATTGATTGGGCGTGGATGCGGTGGTAACAGCAGACTGGGTGGGGCTAAAAAGTTCAATCAATCAATTCCAACTTTGCAAGATCTTTTTTTTCCCCGCAAGAAGTTGAAATTGACTGATTGATTGAAACTTTTTTTTTTTTTGCACACGGCGGCGAGGCCTAAAGTGAAAAGGTTTTATAAAACCCAGCTGAAGGCCTAGGACTGGGGCGATGGCGCGCATGCCCACAGAGAGGGCTCTGAGTGTTGCCTCTGGTACCCGTGCCATAGGTTTGCCACCACTGGATTAAGTTATAAGAAGTAAAAGAAGGAATATAAAGTTGATTTATTTGATCAAAATTAAAATACTGTAATTATGTTGTTTCTGACAATCCTTAATGAACTTTTGCTAGGACTGAAATGATGCTTTATGGGTTTGTTTATAGATAAGAAGTGGGATATTGAACGAAGACATCATAGTTTGTAAATTAAGAGGAGATGAAGTTACTAAAGTTGTTTATATTTGTTGTGATGAAGGTTAGAAGTCCTTCCTTCCTTCCTTTTCTATTTTTCTTTCTTTTAGTTTATATCAGTTATTACTACTGCAATTAAAATATTTAATGAAATTATTTTTAAAAATATGAAGTCACTTAAAGTTATAATACTTTTTATCTATACCTCTTTAGTACTGTCTTTGGGCAGGGAAAGTGTGAATGCTCAAGAAATAGTCTTGCTATCATGTTAGGTTGTTCATTTAAAATGCTAGCACAGTGTCTAGTTGTTGTTATTGTTTTAAAAAGCAAATTCCATTCTAGGAATTATTAGAAAAAGAATTGCTAGTAATGAATGTCCTTCCAGAAACCTACTGGTATACACAATATTCAATCCTATGATTTTACTAATACTGATGATTAAGTCTCAAAAAGCCTCAAGCATTGGAAAAGAGCAAACACAGATATGTAAAATAAATAGAAGGCTAAAGCAAATTCCCTACAAGAAAAATGAATAATAGTTGCAGGGTTCTTTAATTTAATTTTCAGAGCACTAACCTTTGAAATTAAATACAGAAAGATTCAGGAATAGCAAAAATATGAAAAGTGTATTTACATTCTGCAGACTTAACTTCTTACTATTTAGAAAGTTTTAAAGGAGAATTATGCATATTCATAAACAGCTGTGCTATCAGTGATTTCTGATGCTACATCTGAATCATAGCCAACAAACTTTGAATGACTGCTACGCTTCAATAGAAAGAGACATTGATCTTCTATTTGTGAATTTTCTAAATACATCTGTTTGGCCAAATCATGTTACAGAATGCAATGTCTTTTTGGTTCTTATAAAATTGTATTATGGAGATAAAACAATGTTCTTAACTCTGTGATAAAGCAAAAAGAACTCCTGGTTGTACAAAGAACTTTCCACCTTATTTTTTATTTCCAATATTCAACTCATATTCATGAGAATGAAGATAAATATATGTGTCCCAAGATAATATTGAAGGGTGCAATCTGAGTCAGCCACTGGGAACAAAGGTTTACTCTTCCAAGCTTTCAGGCTCGTCCTGGAACTCATTATCGGGGAACTTCTCTCTCTTCCAAATATATGCACTGGGCTGTTCTACGCTCAGTATATGGTTTCTGGTTATGTGTAGCTTTTAGTTGTAATTAGGGTGTGGCTGGCTGGTTATTAAGTTATTAGCTGTTTCCTTGTGCCACCACATCCTTGGTTCGTAAGTACTTCATAGGCTCATGGTTAATCAGCACTCCTATTGACTGACATCAGGCCAGTTTCTCCGGCTTTAATATTTCTCTGGCTATATTTGTCCCTGCTCAGCCAACAATAATTGTAGCTGCAAAATCAAAAGCATGTCCTTGTTCATTGCAATGTGAGGCTACCAATGAGTTTGGGTCTCCTCGACTGTTCTCGCAATCTGGTGATTAGCTTCCTCTCCATCTGCCACATAGTTGCAAGGGCAATCCATTCAGGGAATTCATTAAATTACATTACAAATTTCTCTCACCTCCAAACTATCATATTCATGTCTTCCATGTTACATAGAGGATTCTACTGCCATCTTTCTACCTTTCTAATCATTCACAAATAGACCATATGCGGCTCTTAAGAAGTGAACTTCATATGTCAACCCTGCTGGTTGGAACCACTAAGAACTGTAGTTCAATAATATCTATGGGCCTCACTTTATCTGTCATAGTAGATGTACTATATTCTACATTTTTCATGAATTTATACTTTGCTACTATTTAGTGCTTACCTGAAAGTTTGCAGCCCAAACTGTAACTCTCTATTATCCTACATTCATAAATTCACTCAGCAGAGATCAGAATAAGCCAGGGTGAATGTAATAAGACTAACTTGTTGATAACCATGCATAGTTGCCCTATTTATTATTGCCATTCATGTATGCCAAGACTGTTATGATGTAACATGTTAAATGACAGTGACAATGAAATAATTGCCCTGTTCAGGCATCATTCATGTTCTTCCTTCTCTTTTTAACATTTCCTGCTATATACACATTTATCTTATTTTTTGCCTGCATAGATTATTGGTGCTTAGAAGACCTGTATCGCGATGTTGTTAAACGTTATGTTGATGCAGTTGAAAAACTTCCTGAGAGAAGGTCAGATCCTGCTACTATTGAAGGATGCTCCCAATTGAAGCCAGATAATTATCTTCTTGCTTGGCATACACCCTTCAATGAGAAAGGTAGGCTGAATATTTTTTTCACTATTTTAACAAAAGCCATATTACATGCTTGTCATTTCAGGAAAAAAAGATGCAGACCATTGCTGGATCAAAGGGCACATTCTTTTGGCATCCCAAAGTTCTAGGACAAAACAAATGTACAATTATTGTGTTGAATCTATATTCATTATAAACTAACTTGAATTAAAAGAAACGCCTACCCATTTATTTAATACTTTTCTTTTGTCTGACCTATTAAAAACCACAATTGAGAAGGAGGTTTTGTAAATATTCTGGGAACTGTACTTGAAGGTCTCAAGGCATACATAAAGTTTGAAGTTTTGGATGTGGATTCCCTGCCCTGTTTCAAAGTAGCCTGAAGTATTACAGAAAGTGGCAAGGAATCTTAGACAAGATCATGTTAAGTGGGGACTAGACTAATATTTCTTAAGTATTAACTTAATAAGCTACAACTTTTTATACAATCATTTTGAATATATTAGGAGCTGTTGTAGCATGGAGGCTAGAATACAGTATTGCAGGCTCACTCTCCACAGCCAGGAGTTCAATCTTGACTGGCTCACGGTTGACTCAGCTTTCTATCCTTCTGAGGGCAGTAAAATGAAGACCCAGATTGTTGGGGGCAAAATAATGACATTTGTAAACCGCTTAGAGAATGTTGTAAAGCACTATGAAGCAGTATTTAGGTCTAAGTGCTATTGCTACTGCTATTGCTATTTGGCTGCACTTTAATGTATTCAGCTGCTGGTAGATTGCACAGAAGACATTGATATTTATATACAGAGACACACGCACCCCCATACACAATATTGAACTAACTTTAGATAAATATAAACATGATTGCTTTTGTTTGGTGTGTGCATTTTAAAATACTAAATGCTTGGCACTTGGCTGCTATCTCAATTAACCAGTGAGAAATCATTGCAGATTACGGTTTTCCATGTATTATAACCCAGAAAACTACTAAAGTAAGCTCACCAAAATGGTGCCATCCAAAGATACATATATCACTGTAACTCCCATATTTCTGGAGGATATCAGATTAGGAATGGCTACACCACTGTCAAAGAATTTACTTCTTGTTGGACCACTCAAATTTAGAGCCTGTTTGGTTTGGTATACATAAAGAGCTAAATTATTTAGGTTTCTTTTGTGTTTTATAAAAATGTTTTATTGGTTGATCCTGTAAAAATATGTGTGCTATTTTTTCTCTTTTTACAATAACAAGGAGGAAACCTGTATGCTCTTCTCTGACAAGTGAGAAAGAATCATGGTCTGTTGTATCCCTGATCTATATGTGCCTGCATAGTCAGATGCCAAGAATTCCTTGGGCTCAGCAGAGTGTCCTTTTGTAAATTATCTCGGCTTACAAATAGCTTAATATCTATTTCTAGAGTCTTTGTTCTTGGCATGATGCTTTCTGATCCCAGATTTATGTCCTCGAATTTTGTATTTGTATTCATTTCACAGCAATCAATCGGTCATGTTTCATCTGGAACTGTGCATTTATTAGACATTTTGCCAGTTATATTTATTGAAATCAGATTACTGAGACAATCCAACTATGTACATATATATATATATATATATATATATATATATATATATATATATATATATATATATATAGCGAGAACAATGGACAGGAAAGGGTGGAAGTAGTAAAAAATCCATTGTGATGGAGCACCCCAGTGAAAGGGGTGAGAAGATGAAACAGCCCAAGGATTTGGATAGTGTGCCTGTTCGGAGTAAGATAGGGTATACTCCTAATTCACGGATACAGGAGGAGGAGAGGGAAGTGAGTAGCAGTATGTGCGCAGGTAAGGGAAGCAAGTGTAAATTGACTAGTAATATGGAGATTAGGACCGGAGCGTTGATTGGTCGGTCAGGACCTATGACGAGATCCAAGAGTCAGGTGCAAACGGCTTTGTCATCTATATATAAGTTCTCTCATTGACCTAAACGATCCCTGACGATGTTGGCAATAGCCAACGAAAGCTTGGAATTTTATTTAATTAAAACTTTTATAGTTTTTAACTTTCCTGGTGTTCACGCTTGTTTGCTGTTCAACATGAATATACCCAGGAATCATTCTTCTATTTTTAATATCAATATATATATATATATATATATATATATATATATATATATATATATATATATATATGTAGGTCTTTGGTTGTTTGGGTTTTCTCCCACGTAAAATTGGAAGTGTCTTGGCAACGTTTCGACGAAGTCACATTCGTCATCTTCAGGCTATGTTTTTAGCTTCTTGCTTTGAGCACAAGAAGCTAAAAACACCAGCCTGAAGATGACGAATGTGACTTCGTCGAAACGTTGCCAAGACACTTCCAATTTTACGTGGGAGAAAACCCGAACAACCAAAGACCTACATACAAATACCCGCGAAAACCTCAGAAAACATATATATATATATATATATATATATATATATATATATATATATTGCCTCTGAGTATAGGGCTAAAGACAAAACTTCATTTTGATTTCTCCAGTGACTTCACTTTCTTTCCCTTCTGGTGTAGATTGCACAAACCTAACTCCCACATATGCAAACTGCAGAACCTGTTCTATGTTCTGAATGCTGGCAAATTTAAGGGGCCATATTTCATGGGTAAGAGCTCAGCTTCCACTGGATGATGCAGATTCCAGATCCAGCAGTGGGTTAATATGACACTGATTCATTGGAATATAAGGGCACTCAGTTGGAACATCATCATCTAAGACAGTGTCATAAACATTGCAACATACTGTGGCAATTATTTTTGTCCCTGTGCAGTACAGCACTGATGTCAAAACAGCTGCCCCTCCTCACTCTCCAGAAGAAAAAAATAAAATAAAACTGGACCAGTCTTAGGCTATAGTTTCCCACTGATGCTCTGTGTCTCTATCTGATCCATTCTGTGATTCAGCCAACTGGGAGGTAGCAAATTGTCGTGACATGGAGACATCTGTCTCATACTACTCTATCATTCTGAGAGGACACTTGAGAAGGTGTCAGTAATACCATTATTATAAACCATGAGTGAAAAAATAAGTAACACCTCCTAATGGGAACATGCTATTTTTTTCCACTTTATGTAACTTGGAAAATTCCCAATTAGTCATTGAACAATAAAACTGAATATACAATAGTCTAATATCATTTAATATAGTGCAGTGATTTACGGCATTAAGTGTCTGGGCTTGGAGCTGTTGAAGCTGGAGTTTTTGATTCCTGTGATAGAGAAAGACATTTTGTAAACAAGCGATAGGCACCAGAAATGCTCAAGACCAAGAAACAAATCATGCACTGTTGATCACTTGAAAAGGTGAAGGAAGAGGCCCAGAAATCAAAACCTTGGGATTAATATATATATAATAAAGGCAGGGTGTCTAGGTTACAAAGCCTCTGAGTATAGGGCTAAAGACAAAACTTCATTTTGATTTCTCCAGTGACTTCACTTTCTTTCCCTTCTGGTGTAGATTGCACAAACCTAACTCCCACATATGCAAACTGCAGAACCTGTTCTATGTTCTGAATGCTGGCAAATTTAAGGGGCCATATTTCATGGGTAAGAGCTCAGCTTCCACTGGATGATGCAGATTCCAGATCCAGCAGTGGGTTAATATGACACTGATTCATTGGAATATAAGGGCACTCAGTTGGAACATCATCATCTAAGACAGTGTCATAAACATTGCAACATACTGTGGCAATTATTTTTGTCCCTGTGCAGTACAGCACTGATGTCAAAACAGCTGCCCCTCCTCACTCTCCAGAAGAAAAAAATAAAATAAAACTGGACCAGTCTTAGGCTATAGTTTCCCACTGATGCTCTGTGTCTCTATCTGATCCATTCTGTGATTCAGCCAACTGGGAGGTAGCAAATTGTCGTGACATGGAGACATCTGTCTCATACTACTCTATCATTCTGAGAGGACACTTGACAGTAATACCATTATTATAAACCATGAGTGAAAAAATAAGTAACACCTCCTAATGGGAACATGCTATTTTTTTCCACTTTATGTAACTTGGAAAATTCCCAATTAGTCATTGAACAATAAAACTGAATATACAATAGTCTAATATCATTTAATATAGTGCAGTGATTTACGGCATTAAGTGTCTGGGCTTGGAGCTGTTGAAGCTGGAGTTTTTGATTCCTGTGATAGAGAAAGACATTTTGTAAACAAGCGATAGGCACCAGAAATGCTCAAGACCAAGAAACAAATCATGCACTGTTGATCACTTGAAAAGGTGAAGGAAGAGGCCCAGAAATCAAAACCTTGGGATTAATATATATATAATAAAGGCAGGGTGTCTAGGTTACAAAGAGATAAAGTTACTCCTCAACTTACAGCCACAATTAAGCCCAACATTTCTGTTGCTAAGAGAGACATTTGTTAAGTGAATTTTGCCCCATTTTATGATCTTGTTTGCCACAGTTGTTAAATGAATCACTGTACTTGTTAAATTAGTGACACAGTTGTTAAATGAATCTGGATTCCACATTGACTTTGCTTGTCAGAAGGTTGCAAAAGGTAATCACATGATCCCAGAATACTGCACCTGTCATAAATATGAGTCAGTTGCCAAGCTCCTGAATTTTGATCACGTGACCATGAGGATGCTGCAAAGGTCGTGTGAAAATGGTCGTAAATCACTTTTTTCAGTGCTGTTGTAACTTTGAACAGTCACTAAATGAACTGTATGCCAAGTACTACCTGTATAGAAATACAGGTCAAAAGTTAATAATGGTCAAAAGTTTGTTGTTACTAAACATTACAGAACTAAAATGCAACTTTGTTCAATCAATAGTATTTAGAAGTAAGGAGAAATTACTTGGCATGAAAAATTAATGCAACATTCCAAGAGTCATCAGAGGTTCCACAGACCCCTTAATCCCAGGCATAAGCTTTACACAGCCACACCCACTCACACCCAAACTTGTCAAAAATCTTTTTCACGAGCCTTATTGTGATTGTGATTTTTCTAATATATTACCCTCATCTGTTGAAATGTAATTTCATATAGAAAATTTGTGTGGGAGGGGGTCGGGGGACGAGAGGAGGGAGTGTGTAAAGCTTATGCTTGGGATTAGAATGTCTGTGGAGCCTCTGATGCCTCTTTCTTGCATGATGGGGAGTCTTCTGTTGGTTTTTTGTCTTATTCTTAACTTAAGCTGCGCAGAGCCTTTTAAAATTTTTATTTTATTGACTTTATCAAATCCAATAAAAAAGAAAATATCAAAATTTCACTTCAAAACTCTTATGTATGTGTTGTGTGCATTCCAAATTATTAATTTCTCTAAAAACCTGTTCCTGGTTTATCTTGGTTTTTTAAAGTTTGTATTATTATTAAACATCTAGGGTCAGCTAGATGTTCAAATTGGATTTGACATTCTTATCCACCTATAGCAGCGGTTCTCAACCTATGGGTCGCGACCCCATTTGGGGTCGAATGACCATTTTACGGGGATTGCCAAACAACGCGATCTGCCATTTTTCCCCCTCAGGGGGCGCCGCCGCGCGTGGGGGCGCCACCGTGCATGTGCGCCGCACGTGGGGGGGCACCACGCACACGTGCGGCACGCGGGGGCGCCGCCGCGCATGCGCCCCGCGCATGGGGGCACCGTCGCGCATGCGCCCTGCACGTGGGGGCTGCCGCCACGCATGCACATCACGCATGGGGGCCGCCGCGCATGCGTGGCGCACACGCATGCACGGCGCATCCGTGTGACCACGGTTCGCCGTATAAAAAGGTTGAGAACCATTGACCTATAGCCTCCTTCCCAAGGACATGAGATAAACAGATCTTGTTTGATGGTGTTAAAGGTATTGTTGCAAGATATATGCTGTTTCAACTAAAACTGCCTTTTGCAATTGACTGATGGTGAATTATTATTATTATTTATTACATTTATATGCTATAGTATTTATACTATACTATTTCTATGGATTTCTTTGTATTTAATTAAATTGTTTGTGCAGCCATTTTAAAACAGTGGAATGTACTTTATTATAATGTACATGTTGTTGTTTATCACGTAGGCTCAGGGTTTGGTGCAGCTACAAAAGCCATGTGTTTAGGGATGAAATACTGGAAGCCCGAAAGACTGGAAACTCTCATTGAAGTGAGCATTGAAGTTGGACGAATGACTCATAATCATCCTACAGGTAATATCCAGGAGAATGTGCTTGGTCATCCTATATAAAACACTGTCATTAGCAAATGACTGGGTGTAGTAATACGTATCCTGGCTCTTGGGTACTATAAGTTTTATTTGATATCTGTATAATTAAAGGCATATGTTCTAGTATACTGAACATATGTTAAAATATACTAGCTCCCTTAAGGTTAGAACTGCACTAATCATATGAAGACAAACACTGAGGGGGGGGGATTGGGGGGTGGAAAGGAACATTTATCTGTCCCTACCCATTAGAATAAAGATAGAGCTAGTACTCCTGCCTGTGTTTCTTGTCTAGAGTATCTTGCAAGCTAACAGATACTTATACACGCACACACAAATATGAGAAGAAAATAATTATAGGAAGAATTTTCAAGAAAGATGCTTGATATTTTCTGGAAGAGCTGAGATAATAACATGTAAGATTCTAATATTAAAAACAAAAATGTAAAAGGTAGGATATGTTAATGCAGGCATGCACAAATATTTGCCAGTAACCCTATTTTATTTAGTCATTAAGAAGTTCCATCTGTTGTAAGGACTCACTTCCAAATACATGTGCCTAGATTTAGAACATATTTTATGTTCCAAGTGGAATCCTAGGGCCAAGGATTCCAAAGTGTGATTTGATTGCAACATGACAGGTTCACATTCTGAATTAACATGTTTTCCCAGCTGTAGTTCAGGGAGGAATGGGAAGGAGCTATGAAAAGAAAAGATGGGTATCATAGGTATAACCAGGGCTTTTTTTCTCATAGAACACCCAGAACGGAGTTCCGGCACCTTTTTTGGATGGAACCTTGTAGGGTAGGCAAGGCGGGTTGTATGACATGTGTGAGTTCCAGCACTTTTTTTTTTTTTTTTTAGAAAAAAAGCACTGGGTATAACCTAAAGAGGTATAGAGTCAATTCCTTTAGTCCAAAAGGAACTAAAGTAAGTAGGGTGGATGGGCAGCAGGACAAGCAGCCACCAGGAACCAATAGTAAACCTACAAGTATGCTTACTAGGGAATTTAACACATCTGTAAAAATCCTGGTCAGGGAAAGATGCATAAACAGTGACACACTATAATCTGAGCATGCATATTAATGGCAAACTTTCTTCTTCTCTGACTTCCTACTAAATGTCAGATGAAAATCAGCCCTAATGTATCTCACAAATGCACTTAAAATAGATCTATCATGTTTTCTAGAAACCAATATGAGCATTCAGTACAAGAGGAGTTACCATAAAAATGTGCGAAATCGGTAAATGAATTAATCAATTATTGCCCCCAATGAAGAGAACAATAACTGTAAACTAAAATTTAAATCAGTCTCCTCTCCAAGCAGTGACATGCAACGGGATATTAATTCATCTTTTAAGTTGCGCTGAGAATCATTAGAAGTTTATTTTGAATTTCTGCATCCCATTCTCATGTCATAATCACTGAGATCAGAACTGCATATAGAAATAAAATAGCTCATCCTCCTGGAATGTTACCATGAAAACATGCCAGCCAGCTACCTCCTAAAGGCAGATACAAGCACCATGTCATAGCTATTCTCTGAAATGTTCCAAAGTTATGATTATGTGCTGGCAGTGGTACAAAAGGCATTATGAACATCTTTAACATGGGGCTAGTTTTAAATTAATTTTTCTTTCTTAAAAAAGTTTAAGGAAATATAGAGCTTGAAGTTGGATGAATTAAGCCTCACAGCACCTGTTTTTATTATGCTACCATTAGCATTATACTTTGGCCATTTGGGGATGTTTATAAAGCATTTTAAAATTTTAAGTGATCAAACTAAACATTGTTAAATATAGCATAATCTTTTATTTTGTTCTTTAAAGAACTGTTATTTATATCTGTATATAAAAAGACAGAGGTTGTTAGCATTTCAAAGTGGATCATTAAAAGTCCAGGTACTTTATAAAGCAACAACTCCTAAATACTAAGTAAATGAAGCATTATTTGGATTCAGATAACTTATCTCATGATTGCTTCCTCAATTTTTCAAAAAGGTGTTGAAACTATGTTGTATGTCTGATCCATAAAATAAAGCAGACAATATTTTAACTGACTTAATTAGCTGCTTCAGTCTCACAGAATGACTCCTCCTAAAACATTTTTCTTATGTACACATAGATATGGTTCTGTCCACAAACTTTTTTAAAAAAAAAAGTTGTATTACCTTTTTTTTTTTTAACCATACACACATTTATCTTTATATGCTAATTTCAGGCTTCCTAGGATCCCTTTGTGCAGCTCTGTTTGTTTCATATGCTATCCAAGGAAAGCCATTGGTCCAGTGGGGAAGAGAGATGATGAAAGTCATTCCAATGGCCGAAGAATACTGCAAAAAGACCATCAGGCACATGGCAGGTAAAACTGATTAATTGGGCATTTCAAATTCATAAAAGGTAAAAAAGAAATCACTTTTTAAACTTCTCAGTAAATTTGTTTAGTTACCCAAGGTGGCGCAGTGGTTAGAATGAAGTATTGCAGGCTAATTGTGCCAACTGCCAGGGGTTCGATGCTCACCACCCCAAGTTTGACTCAGCCTTCCATCCTTCCAAGGTTGGTAAATGAGGACCCAGATTGTTGGGGACAATATGCTGACTCTGTAAACTGCTTAGAGTGGACTATAAAGCATTATGAAGCAGTATATAAATCTAACTGCTATTACTATTGCTATTGCTACCCTTTCTAGTAATTAATTTAACTTGCCATTTTCAGTCTGAATTTAAATTTAAATGATATTGTGAGATAAGAAGTTGGGTGAGAAATGTAATGAAATATTAATTTTAAAATAACAACACATATTAGACCAGTGATGCATATGCATAAGCAATGTGCTTTTAATAGCCCCTTCATTTTTTTTAATGGAAGTTCTTCCACTTTTATTCAAACTGTTGTTGTTTCTTAAGAGTAGAGCAGGTGCAGGATTAACACTTATAGGTCTGTCTCTCACAGGAGGAGGCTGGCATTTGCTCAGGGCAATGTCATCTCTAAGCTAAACATGCAAACCTTTTGAAGCATGTGCTTGTAACCCCGTCATTGTGGAAAACAGTGCTATTTTAGAAAGCAGGAAGAGAGGTTGAAAAAATAGATCCCTGCTTGAATCACAACAGAATCCTGTTTTTCAAGATATTTGGCTAGCTAAACAATGATAAAAGTTTCTTTCTTTCCTACTCAACAGCTCTAAATGGTACGTGGCAGCACTAAGCTAAATATAATGAAGAAAATAAATACAATTTAGATAGCTTACACCACAGCTACTTCACAAATTACTTTTCCTCCTGAAATCAAAGATAATTTCCTATACAGAAAGAGCTCTAGCATAAAATATGTTTAGAAGTTTTTCTAACCCAATATTATGGTGTCAGAAAATACATTTAAGACAGAATAGCAGGGCATATTTTAAGAATAACAGTGAGCGTGCCCTTTTGTCTCCCCAAAAATTATTTCTTAAGAGAAAAAAAAAGTCAAAGATGAATTACCCTTAAAAAAATGTGTATCTTTCACCCAGATTCATACAACACTTGCATAATATTCAAGTATACAGCTTAAATGTGATACTCATTATATTAACAAAAAATATTACAGGGTTCAGATTGTGTATCAAAAGCTGACTGGGCTTTAGTTACCTTTATGACTATGTTACTATATTTAGTTATTTAGTTGGCTATGTTACTATAGCATATTGCGTTAAAGAAAGCTGTTGAAAGTGGCCTAAAAATGAAACTAATATAAATCCTATTACAGCCAGATTGCTAACAAAACTTGGCTTCCATAAATGCATTAAGCAGTAAGAAAACATCTTAAAAGATTTCCAGGCTCAAGTCTAAATTCACACATAAACTCAAAGTGCAGAAGGACTTGGACAGATCTACCCTGCTTATTTCATATTTTGTGTCTATTTTCTTCAGCTCAATCATGTCTGATTCTCAGAGACTGCCTGGACAAGCTCCTGCAATTTTCTTGGAAAGGGTTTTTCAGAAGTGGTTTTGTTATTCATCCTTCCTAGAGTTGAAATAAGTGACTAATCTAAGGTTATGCAGTTGGCTTTGTGGCAAAAGTGGATCTAGAACTCAGAGTCTCTTGTTTGTAGTCTGATGCCTTAACCACAACACTAAATGGGGTCTCTATTTTGTGTTAGCTGATTCTAATTCTCTGTCTTTATGGAAATAAAAATCTTCCAAACCAATTCTCTATTGTACAATATATTGGTTGGTATTAATGACAAACAGTATCTTAACAGCATTATTTGACTATTCTTGACTGGAATAATTTTTCAAGATTAAATATATTATAATTGCACATTTATTTTCCATTCAGAATATCAGGAACACTGGTTTTACTTTGAAGCAAAATGGCAATTTTATTTGGAGGAGAGAGAGATCAATGAAGAAAACCAGAATAAACCTCATTTTCCTGACAATTATGATGCTGAAGAAAGAGAAAAAGTAAGTTCTTCAAGAAATAGCTGTTTAAACTCTGTGTGTGGGGGGAGGGGAGGAATAGATATGAAATGATACTTTTCTTATTAAAAATGAATGTTATGCTGTAATTATGAAACCAAATGACAGAGGTTGTGTCTCAAAAAGACAGATTTTACAGAATAAAGTTTAAGTTGGTCATTTGTAAGAGAAATAGCAATAAAAACAATAACAAGTGATAAAAAAGTAGTGATTGTTGGTGTATAGTGAATCAGTGATCAATGGGTAGATATTACTCAAAGCATTAAAGGCAAATAAATCAAGAAACTTGAAAACATAAACTGTAATTTAACATTTCTTTATCAATCTATATTTTTAAAACATGCAAACTGAGAGATTTATAGATGCATGTTCTGGTTTGTATTTCGTCAAGTTGTTAATTATCCATTTAGACTTACCGGAGATGGAGTTCTGAAGGTCGTGGTGGAAGGAGAGGTCATGATGCTCCCATGATTGCATATGACGCTCTCTTAGGATGTGGTGGTGATTGGACAGAGCTTTGTAACAGGGCAATGTTCCATGGAGGTGAGTAAACTACTGCTTTTTATATTTCTTCTATAATTCAATCCTTATAGAAATTAAAAAGCAACAGCAGCTTTCACAGCAGCTTTCCTCAACCAAAAGTTGTTGAGATGTCTTGGTCTACAAGTCATATAATTCCTGCCAGTCTGGCCAGTATCTCATTGAAAGTTCTATTGTTCAACCATTGTCAATATTTTCACTGCAGGACTCACTTTCCATTACAGAGAGCAGGATAACCTTAGATAAAGAAGGTAATAGTGACAGCTATTTAGACATTCCCTTCTATTTAAGTTCAAAGCATCTTAGGCTACTTCCTACCTAATAACTTAGAGTGATATAATACTTTTCCTCGTTATGCTATTATGATACAAGAATGATAAGAAAACAAAGCATTATCAGTTGAAATGTCAACTGATATTAATGAGGAATAGTTTGTGGTAGTAACATAGAATATCCGTTGGTTTTCTATGCAGCTGATTGAGGGGATTGTACATGAAGATTATTTTGGATGAGATCATCAATTTTTATAAATTCAAAGCTGGTTAATAAATGCATTGATTCACATATAACATCACAGCAGTGGGGCACAATGTTGTCATCTTACTTCTGTGATGTGCAGGATTTTGATTTATTTCACAGTTCATGCTGATGAAAATTGAGGATGGAGATGCTGGGGAAATTTTAGAGATTCAGTTCACAAAGCGGCCCAGAATCCTGTCAGAAATACAATCTTGATCATTGTTTGGCAATTGTCTAATCTTTCACTCATGGTTAAAGTCCCTGAATGGAGCTAACTGTTCGTTTGTGCTTTTGATTTTTAGGCGAGAGTGCAGCTACGGGATCAATCGCTGGCTGCTTATATGGGCTGCTCTATGGCCTCAACAAGGTTCCTAAAGGCTTATACCAGGAACTTGAGCAAAGGGAGAGGCTCGAAAACTTGGGGGAAAGTATTTTCCAACGATCTTCAGAGGAAAAGTAAAGATACTTTTAATTTTTTATTTTATAATAAACTGGTAATCACTTTTGAAAACAAATTTGCAGGAGGCAAAAAAAGAAAAGACCCTTTTGTTTAAGATTATACTATTCAGTAATAACAATGTGCTCAACTTCCCCCAGGATATTACGATCGTTGCCCTGAAGCATTTAAGCACTGTTGGCAGTCAGCGTTTTAGAATAACTTTAAAAATTATCTATGTTTCTTCAAAGGTAGAATCTTGGCATCCATTTTAAATAGTAACTCTTCTAAAAAAAATTATATGACATGAATTTCTGCCTCACTTTGTTAATTAATGTCACCCTGTCATCTGTATGCTCATTTTCACTTATGCATATAAAAATATCATGCTATGTACACCCCAGAGATTGCTTTCATCACCCCTCTAAAAGAGCATTGTTACTTTTTCATGCACTCATTTTCCCTGAAATTCTTAATCCACACTCCTGTCACTTCTTTTTAATGTGACTTCTGTGTCAGACTTGCAGTACCATTCTTTTAAAGAGGGAGAGCTAGAGGGAGAGCTAACACCAGGAAGCGATCCAAGAAAAGGCAGAAAATAGTTATCCAAATCATTCAAATGTAAAAAAATCCACAAAAGTACAATGGTTCCTAGTTTAGCCTTTCAGATTTTTCAATGCTATTTTTTAAAAAGACAAAATTTGTAATTCTTTGGGTAGCTAAAATTCTTGTAAATAAATAAATGTTATGCCTCTTCATAAGCATTGTTCTTTATTTTCGCACTGTGCTTATTGCATGTTCCTGTGTGTTTTCACCGGAATTTTTGCTTGCAGTTGTCACTAGAGGTCAAGGTTAAAGTGATTTATTTGTAGGCAGACATTTCTTCAGTTTTGATTCCTTCCACTTACATATTTGGTCAGGATTCAGAGCCATGCATATTTACCTAGGAATAAATTGAAATTGCCATGATTTATATCCAAGTAGATACATGCAGGATTACAATAGCAGAACTCCTGGGTTTCAATAAAATTAATAATAAAAGCTTACTTAATTTTCACTCATTTCCATAGGACTTAAGTATGACGGTGACTATAGGAAGAATGATCAATTCTACTCCAACAATTCTGAATCAATGGACTGGACTTTTTTCCATCTTTTCCCAATTCTATTCACCCTTATTTTTCTTTCCCTTTAAACATCTTTCTTTCTGTTCATGCTATGGTGAAAGATGATAAAGTCTAGGAGACAAAAGAGTTAGGTAGAGATACCAATAAGGCCTGTTTTTTCTCTTGGCATCTGTGTCAAAATCTGCGCGATTGAAGCCCAGCTGCTTTTGTATATGCATCAATGTCACATGCAGAAAAGGGTGGGATTTTAATCATGAACTCATTCCCATCATCCAAATTTGAACTCCTCCCATTCCATAGATACTGGTGGTCTTTCATCCATTAATTTAGGACTGGTTTACATAGTCCTTTACTGACTAACTAAAATAACTAATGCACTGCCCTAAAACAGCCATTCCTAATTCCTGCCCTATAGTATACTTTCCTGTACTTTTCAAAGAATGAATATCCAGGCATATAAAATGTACAGGCTATTCTTAGTGGTTGAAAACTGCGCATATGAAGGAAATAGTCATTGAAATAAAACTATGCACTTATGTTTTGATCAGGTGCTAATTTAGCACTGGCTAAATAAAAGATTATTCTGATTTGCTGTCATTAATGGTAACAAAAACTTGAGTTTTAGCTTAGATACTGTATGCTACATTTCCTGATTCTTTAACATCTCTACTGTAAGAGAAAGGTGAAAGTATTTGTGAATCAATCTCTAAATTAGGGAAATGTGTATGTACAAAGTATTTTGAATTTTAGTTCTCACAACCCCTTTCCTACTGATGATGCTGGTTGACTGAAGGGTACTGAAATATAGTCCACTGTTTCTCAATTTTGACCAGCTTGCTGGCTGGGGAATTCTGGGAGTTGAAGTACACACAGCTTACAGTGACCAAGGTTGAGAAACAGTGAAATATACAATATCTGAAAGGCAGGAGATTGCCTATCCTTGTCCTACATCCTTCTAAAGTTCCTGTTAGAAATATCTTGCTTCTTTATTAAAGGAGTTAGAGCAGTGATGGCGAACCTTTTAGAGACTGAGTGCCCAAAAACCGCCTCGTCCCTGCCCCATCCCCACGTCTCCTGCCCGCAGGGCCATCCACCACCTCCACGGCCTGCCACAGCAGATTGCCCAGGCAGCTCAGCAGCATCATGGTGGCCACGCCCTCTGTCCATGCCCCGCAGCATCATTTGTACACGATGGGGCGTGAGGGCAGAGTCTTGTCCCGCTGGCCAGCTACCATGTCCTTGGCTGCGCTGCTCTGCACAGGCTGCGCCCAGGGAGACTCTCCTCTTGGGGGGCTGCTGGTGAGGAGGGGGCTACAAGGGGTGGCGGGGCTGGGGCAATGGCGTACGTGCCAACAGAGAGGGTTCTGAGTGCCACCTCTGGCACCCGTGCCATAGATTCGCCACCACTGAGTTAGAGTGAAGGATTGTATATGTCACTCTATTACTGTATTTGTACATTAAAAAAATAAATTATAGTGGTTCTATGGATTGCATCATATATTGCTTTCTACCATCATGATGCATAGTTCCTACAGTTGGTTATTATATACTGCATTTCTTATGTTTTGGAAGAATCCCATACTTTAACACGCAGATCAATATGTTGTAGGAACAAGTCACCATGCTGCCTGCTTAACCCACTTCCTGGTCATGGGTTCCTAGGGGTTGCTGCAGAGGAAGAACTATTACCAAACTTTCTTGCATAAGTTCATAATATTTCCTGGGAGCTGAAATAATAATTATTATTTCCTGATTGATATAGATCACCTGGCAAAACACAACTGTCTAAGGTAATATATAATATTAATAAATAATAAAAATGCAATTATCTTGCATAACAAGCTCATAAAATTAAACTGCTTTTTATGCCCTTAAGCATTAGCAACACAATTAACATTAATGCAGAGTTTTTGCTTTACCCATAATACCACAGAATGCTTTCCCACATTACAGAGATAATGTAGAAGGGAACTGTATGGATTTGGCTCTGAATATTTAAATTGTCTGAATAAGTACCGTCGCAAAACCAGCATCAGCTACAAAACCTTTTGTTTGTTAACTAGTGGAATAGTTAAGGTGGGATATCTATGTATTGTAAATGCATCAGAGTCCTAGTTGTAACTGAAATGTTTTGGTCAGGACAAATTCCCACTTGTTAAAAGCAAAGTTTAAAAGCATCTGAAATGTTTAATCATCTTGAACTCAGATTTTCATAATGGAAAAAGAACCCAGTGATAGGCAGGGTTCTGATGCTGAGATCAAGCTCAGTAAATGTGTGCCACAATCCTCACAGCAACACTTTCCTCTGTCATGTATTTATCATGAAGAGGACCCAGCAGAACTTGCTTTTAATAAAAGTGTTGTCACAGGTGTAATGTTTTGTATGTGTGTGGGGGGATGATGAGTAAGAGGGAAACTTGCCCTTCAGGAAGATATAATGATTTGACCAAATACTGGCTTTGAATTGCTTATTTCATTCAGAGATGGTCAATGGACAAAGGTTGTTTTTTTTCTTTTTTTCCATGTGGTCTTTGTTGAATATGGTAAAGGTTTATAAAGGGAGCCTGTGATGACAATACTGTTTCAGTCTAATGTTCCTATGTGCAGCATTATCCATAAGTGAAACCCTGCATACTGGATTCTGTCATTTTAAATTTCAGAAAGAGGAAGAATATTTACTCAGCATACGGTTATGATATTTTTAGGAACCACCTAAATTTCAGATTATGAGAAATTGAGATTACAACCAATGTTAAAACAGTTGTGCCTTCCTCCCCCAAATCTGGCCCTGATCCTTCTGTTTGCAGGACATAAATGCTAGTAGTATTTTTGTCCTTATGTGATTATTACTGAGCAAGAATAAATAATTACCTGGCTTTACAATGATCTGGATGGCAGAATTAATATGAGCATCTGTTCATGTTGCTTCTTGGAATCAGACATGTGTTACATGGGCTGGCCACTTTCTTGTTATGTGGTATTAAGGATGAAATCCTGTGTTATTAGAATTAATAATTTCCTTTGCCCTTGACCTCATCAGGAATTCATCCGAAAACAATTGTTGTCCTGCTTCTGCTTATATATGAAGAGGTATAAAAACGTAATCCTATTTTGATCTGTAAGATGAATCTCATTCACGTACTATTTTATTATTTGACGAATTAACTACCTAAGATTTTTATGGTGCTAGAAAGCTGAAACCACTGGGGTTCTCATCACCCACTTCCAAGCAATAGTCTATCGCCATTGGTTCATTCTGTGGCTTTCACATTGAGTTCTTCAAAATTCTTCCAACAAAAGTATTCTTACAACCATGTTAATGACTGAAATGACACAGAAGCCAGTTAATATCATCCTGCATATCTTTGCATACATAAAGCTTTTATCTTTGCCATTGTAATTTTATAGGGGTAATACTTTTAAATTTTTATTAGTTTATCAAAATATAAAATACAAGAAAAATAAAAATAATGGGAAGGTAGGGAAGGAAAAAGGAAAGAGGAAAACATGTAGGGTAAAAAGGAAATTAAAAAAAAACATTGATTTCCAACTCTTTTTACCATAACAGAATAAGGTAATAGCCTCAATGTTTTACTTGTGCATGATACTATACACTAGCTGTTTCTATAATAACAAACCTATCTAATCACAAAACCCCAAATCAAAGTTTCATTTTTTTTTAACCTCAAGCACGAAGTCCAGAAATGGTTTCCAAGTGGAGGTAATGCATTCAGAAAAAAGATTTTAAGAGTACATTTTCCACAAAATTGGAAATTGTGTTTTAATTTAACTAAGTAGGCTTTGGACCTAAATTTATCAAAACTGTAGCCTCCTATATTTTATACTTTGTAGGATATGGAATACTGTGGAAATAGATTTTTATAAAAATTGAGCAAACTTGTCAACATTGTATTTTTAGTTCCTTAAAAATGTACAACATCCAGTAATATATTTTGGGTATCCTTTATTTAGCTATTGGCTGAAGGTATGCAATCTTTTTCAAAGTTAATGAAACATATTACTGCTTATATCAGATAATACAATAGTTGACAATGGCCAGTCATAGATAGGTACCCAAAATAACAGGTTGATGATTGTCTTGTCTAAGGTTATGTATTTTATATAAATGTGTACATTAGATGTACAATGTTTGCAGCTTTAAGAGCAATTTTAGTATACAATGTAATGTATAATGCATATTTATGGTTCCTCTTTCCAAAACATTGATTTTCTTCTGTGCAGCAAAAGCAAAGTTATGAAGGTGAGCAGCGATATGGTGCAGATTGATCCCATTGCACTGAAGAAGAAACTCAATAAGATGTCAAACAAATTAGGTGCTTTTGCTGTTCTCAGCAGCCTTTTGATTTACCTCACAGACCTCGTATCTAATAGGCTTCCAGCTGAAAACAAAAAAGTCAAGTGGCTAGAAAGCATAGAAAAAAATATGAGCTCAAAGCCTAAATGCCAAAGCACGAACAATGGTATTCGCCCTACAAAATTTCAACTTCTGCAGTCAAGGTTCATGAACAACCATCGTGAGCCCTTACGAAAGAAGCCAAGAGAGGTAGGCAAGTTGATTATTAAAGAAAAGCATTCTGCCCCTAAAAATGGGCTAAATTCCATCATAAGCAAGTTTGATAGAAATTCGTTAACCAATGAAGAAAGTCCAAATACGATAAGCCAAGAAAAAACTAAATGGATTAGCTTATGTGGGAAAAATACTGTAAAAAATGTTCTGAAGAAATTTATAGCTGCTGAGGAAAAGGAAGCTAAGGAGAAGCAGCCGGATCTGAAAAAGAACCTACCCAAAATAATCAATAAAAACTCAGTCTTCTCCAAAATGAAAGAAAAGTTTGAGCAAACCAGTAATATTTGTTCAGTTATTGATGTGAGAATAGCTCCCCCCCATGCAAGAGGGAAAGAAAAGACAAAAAAGGACAAAAAGCCTCTGCAGCAAAAAGCTATTTGCAAAGGAGAAGCTAAAATACTAAAGGATAATTTGAGAGTAGCAACAAATATCAACAGCAATAAGCCACAACTTTTGGTTTGTACAACTGTCCCTATACCTAAATTTTGTGTTGCTATTGTAATTAATCATCCTTCCAGTTGGGCAACAAATACCAAATGCATCATTCAGCTTTCTGACAATAATGTCCCAGGGTTAAAAATAAAGGATTCAGAAAATAGCATTCAATTTGGTGAAAATGAGATATCAGAACACAAGGAACAGAAAGGACAGTTGCAAAGGAAAATTAATGAAATGCCTAAGATGGCTGCAGACAAAGTAGATATGGCTGAAACTTCTGCAAGTCCAGTTCCTAACATGGGCAACGTTCCACTTTTGATGGAAGAGGTATTCCTTGTTGACCATAAGCTTACTTTACCCTTAGACCCAAACCAGAAACCCTCATCACCTAAAGATAGCATGTTCTCTAGCTCTACAAACAAAGGTACAACACAAACTGCTAAGAATGAAAAATCTTCTACTATTTGCCCCTCTATCACCTGCCCTACTAAAGGAGTCAGTGCCCTCAGCCATCAGGAAATTAAAGAAGATGAGATTCCTGCCATGCCAGAAGATTTGTGTAGGTCAAAAGAGACAGAAATAGAATTAACAGCGTCTGTAAAAGATCCTCCCCCCTTTGCCAGCCAGAAATGTTTCTCTAAACAGAAAGTGTTGGAAAATACTCTACTGTTTCACTCTCCTATAACTCAGGGATCATGTAACATCGAGCCGTCAATCAAAAACCAACAATCAAGTGTTGAACCTGCAGCTAGAGACAAAATGTCTCTCAGTTGGAAGAATAGAGAAGATTTTGGAAGTAGATTTTCTGATGGAATTCAGGACAAAGAAAAACTCTCTGATAAAGAAGAACTATTTCTAAAATGTATGACAAATAATGATCACAAAACAAAACAAGGAAACCAAAACTTGTCTGACTGCCGGATAGAAAATAAAAATTTGCCTCTGCAGCCCATGAGCCAACAAAATTACCAGGATAACAGCAGGCCAAACTTTTCCAATAACTCAGATCAAGCCCTCATTTCAAATAATACTGTAAAAGGAAATGATATTCACAGTGAATTTGAAAAACATTACTCGTCTTTGCCTAATACAATGAGGAAATCCCGGTCTAATGTAGCAGTAGAAAATAGTAAAGCCAAATCCTGCTCAATCAATGAAAATACATATTCAGAAAACAACACTAACAAGGAAAGGGTGAGCTTGAGCGACTGGCATAGCTCTCAAAGCCTTGTGAAAGAACTGCTTAGCCATGAAAGCCACAATGTAACAGACAGTCCTGGGGCTGCTTCTGAAAAATGTCATTTATCTTCATTAGATGATTCAGCAAAAACAGTACTCAATATTGCTGATGTCAACAGTCCTTTATGCAAAACAGGGAACTTTCCAACGCCAGCCTCATCCTCATTAACAAAGAATGAAAGTGATATTACCTTTTGTTCTCATTCTAAGAAATGCCATAGCCCTTCTCCTAGTGACTCTCTAAAGCCCAAGAATACACCCAGACAAAATTACAAAATAATGCACAACTTGAGCAATGATTTAATACACAATGAAAAAAATGTTGTAGAAGACAAAGATTTTGGTCATCAGAGTGGGAAGTATCAACTGTCTTCAAAAAGGAAGTTTAGGAGGCCTGAAAATGCCCCTGCACATCTCAAGCCCAATGAAGAAACACAACCAATGTCCTTGGGAAATGACATTAGAAAGCAACAAAAGATGAAAATGATGTCAGAAGAAAAGTCTGAGGAGAGCTATTTCCCTCCCCAAAATGAAGTAATGTGTCTAGGAACCAAAGATGCAGAGAATAAGGATTTACCCAAAACAGCACAACATCTGACTTCTTTATCAATCATCAAAAGGGAAGAAGAGAAAAATAAGACAGAAGATAACAATCCTTCACCAAAAATGTCACATACTTCCAAAACTTCCCAGAAATCAAGAAAAAATGAGTTTACAAAGGATAGCGGTGGTATAACAGAAACAAAAGTTTCTCAGACAGAGCAGTTAACACCACCTAAATCTAAAACTAGTAACATAGGAACAGTACTCTCCATAGTCACCACTTCAAAATGCCCAACACCACCAAGGGAACCAGTGAAACACAAAGATGTTACAGCACAAGATGACACTATTATACCTTCAATAGTCAAACACTCAAAATACCAAATATCACCAAGGGAACCAGCAAAACAGGAAGACATTACAGTAGAGGACAACAGTTCTACGCCTACTATGGTCAAATATTCAGAATACCAAACACCACCAAGGCAAACAGTAAAAGAGGAAGGTGCTATAACACAAAATAAAAGTACTAAAACAGCCCAGCTCCCTTTACTCAAGAAATCAATGAAAGATGATAATATAAGGGGAAATAATTCTCAAGATAATCTTCAGAATGAGAAAATAGCATCTAGTAACAAAATGAAGCCTGGAAGTAATCCAGAAAAGATGAGAGATAATAGTAATAATTCAATCCCAAACCAGTTATCCTTCAAACACAAATGCTCAAAAAATGAAAAGAACAGTGCAACAGATGAGAGCATTCTGAATCCTTTTAAGAAAAGTAAAATGTCATTTTCACCAAAAGAATTAAAAGCAGACCCAAAAAATACGGCAGCTGCAATTACACAGAAGCCATCCTTAAATGACTCTAGAAACCCTCACTTGATTACTAAGAGCAAAAAGCATGAGCAAGATTCTAAGAAATATCAGCTACTCTCATCAGATGTGACATCACTGAATAAACAGCAGGATGATAATGTGGCAGGAGGGAAAGAACTGCCGCAGATACAAACCCCAAAAGGTTACATCAAATCAAAATCTAACATAGAAGTTGAAATGTATAAACATCAACAACCTGAAAAATCATGTCTGCCCTCCAATCCAGAAACACATGAGCGGAATGCTCACAGAAAAAAAGGTTCCTTGAAGAACTTCAACAAATACAGACTTCCAACATTGAGTCATGATAAAACTTTGTCAAAGGAAAAAATAAGCTATGAGCATAATGAAGACCCTAAAGAAGGAACTTCAAACAAAACCCACCCACCCAAACAGAAGAATACAGAGCATTCCTCTAATAAATACCAAATACCAGGAACAAATTACTTGTCTGGGCTGAAATATGGAGAATTTAAAGAAGTTGGAGCTGCAGCAATGGACGAGAATGAAGCTACGTTAGTAGAAAAATACAAAGCTGAAAGTTACAGTGAAGAAACCACACCATTGTCTTTTAAGCCACTGATTATTCGGGCAATTGATACAATTAAGCTTGACAACTGAAATAACTTCAAATCCATATTCCATTGATGGAAGCTTGTTCAGTTTCTGCCACATTTCTCTTCAAGGCATAGAAACCACATGGAAATGGCTGTCCAGTGATTAATTTTGCCATTAAAGTAGCATAATTGAAACATTGAAATAGCATAATGGTAACCAAGAGTAAATATAGCCTAAGATTCATGGGAAATCTTTAATGTAGTGTTTAAGGGCATATGAAGCCATGAAGTAGAATGAAGTGGGTACCATTTCAAACTGCACAGAAAATGCATAATCTAAAAGTGCTTGGTTTTTTTGTAACAAAGATCGGTGATGTTTGTCATGTATGGACAAATTTGTCCTCACTTTCATTTAGATGACAGGAACCTTTATAAGAAGGCAGGACACATCCTACTATCTCAACTTTGTAACATCTTTCTGCTACATTGTATACTTACATGTTATGCCCTAACAGTAAAAACAACAGAAGGTTCCAAAGTTCATTAAAACACTTCTCACTTCTCTCCTCTCTCTTTTACAATCATAGCTTTCTCATTCTTCTCCTTCATTCTGACCCATTTGTTTTCCTTTTATATATTTATTTTAGAATTCGACCATTGTATCTTTTGTCTATATGACCAAATCACCTCCACATATTTCTTTTGTATTGATAACTCAATTCCACACTCATTCAGCACCTCTTCATTCTTGATCCTACCTCTCCTTGTTTTACTCCATTCTCTTCTTAATTTTACTGCTTCAATGCATCCAATTTACTTTTACATTTTTCCTGGTATACTCAGGTGTAACTTCCACATAACAAAGTGAGCAGAAACACGCTCTTATACAGTCATTTTCACTTCTTTTGATAAATATTTGTCTCTCACAGAACATCACATCCCATTCAAAATCTCTGTTATCGGTAATTCCCTGTCTGAAAGTTTCTGGACTCATTTTCCTATCCACAATCCAACTTTAAGTTGTGATAAAAGTGCCAATTTTCATGATCCCACAAAACTGCTTTTTTTTTAATTCTTGGAAATTAAGAAATGTGGATTAAAAATGTATGAGTGGTATTATAGGAATTTATGGGAGTGGGAAAGAAAAACCTATTTCTGAGGATTTCAAAAATCTGAAAAAAGGAGACTTCACAAATTATCAACTACCTTTGGCCAAAATTGCTAAATGGAATCTCTGTCTAATAAAGCAGGTTTTATTTATTTATTTATGAGACTTATATACCGCTTTAAGTGCAAGCATTCTCTAAGCGGTGTACACCAGTAAGCAATGTATATATATATATTTACATTGCCCCCAACAATCTGGGTCCTCATTTTACCTACCCCGGAAGGATGGAAGGCTGAGTCAACCTTGAACCAGTGAGATTTGAACCGCTGACCTGCTGAACACAGTCAGCTAAAGTGGCCTGCAGTACTGCACTCTAACTGCTGCGCCACCTCGGCTCTCTGAATTCCTCATCCCTGAAAAAAATGTCATTGCCCCTTTGCTATCCTGATGAATTTTCTACAGGCATCTGCGTGTTTATTTTTGGAAACTGAATGTAAGATGATAGGTAGGTCCTCTTTAGTGACCAAAACTTGGATGGAAACTTGGTCATTAGCAAAGTGATCGCTAAGTGAAACTATGACTATTTTTATGATGTTACTTTAGCTTTCCTTTACTTTATAGACCTGCAAAGGTCATAAATGCGAGGACTGGCTGAAAAGTTACTTTTTCAACACTATTATAACTGCAAATAGTCACTAAATGAGTTAGTTGCTAAACAAGGATGACCTGTAGATGACTGTGGCATGAACTAGAAGAGGTAGCTTCTTTTTAATCCTGTTATATTTCAGCAGATCTAACTTCGCTGCAACAAGACTAAATTGCTTCTCTTGGTTAAATATTAATATTAGTGATCTTCTTGATCCTACTTCAATAGTCTATATCTTACACAACTATACATATTGTGCTGCTCACAATTTCAACCTTACTCCAGAAGTGGTAAATACTTTCTTGTTAAACAGATTTTCATTAAGGATCAATTGTACATATTCTTAACTCTTCCGCTAAAATCAATGGAACTAAAAGGCCCTTTACTTTGGCTGAATTATTCTCAACCTTTTCTCAGAAAAAAAAACAAAACAAAACTGAGGCTATGGCTGCAAAGATTCAGTGACTTGTGACATGGTAGCCAAGAGTGTTCTGTTTCTCTCTGATGCCATTTAGTAATTGTCTAGATTTTTGCAGTCCTAAAAAGGGACAAAGTATCATCTCATAATGGCTCGTAGATTTACTTTTGGCAATACTTGCATTTATTTATTTATTTATGAGACTTATATACCACTTTAAGTGCAAGCACTCTCTAAGCGGTGTTCACCAGTAAGCAATGTATATATATATATTTACATTGCCCCCAACAATCTGGGTCCTCATTTTACCTACCCCGGAAGGATGGAAGGCTGAGTCAACCTTGAGCCGGTGAGATTTGAACCACTGACCTGCTGAACACAGTCAGCTAAAGTGGCCTGCAGTACTGCACTCTAACTGCTGCACCACCTCAGCTCATTTATCATAATGCCTGCTTCCCTTTGGACTTAATACATTTCTTTCAGTAATTCTTTTCAGATAAACAATTAGCTTCCAGTTTTTCTCCATCAAGGAGAGAAAAGGCTCCCTGTTCTAGCCCACTTGTAAACTTATGGTGTTAATTATGTTGTAATAATATTAATTGGAAAAATCTGCAAAATGGAAACCATGTTTAATTACAGCAATACCTTTCCCATTGTCCTTGTGTTCTTTTTAAAACATGTTAAGAGGGCTAATCTTAGCCTATCTCTACTGGGAAGTAAGAATATCTGCAAAACATAGCCTATGTATCATCCTGTACTGCTCTCTTCTTCATATTATTTTTCATCTATTTGAATATATTTCTATGTTTGTTCTAAATCAAGCATGTTTACTACTGGTTTATTAGATAACAAACCAACAGTTAACTATTGCTGTTATAACAGTTTTTATGTGTTTTTTGTAGTCTACTAAGGCAAACAAATGTATTCGTTACTTCTAGGTGTTTTTATGAATTTGCTACAAGGATAGGTTCATTCATTGTCCTGAACTACTAATTAAGAAGGGCAGAGTTGATTGAAGCCACTGAAGTTGTTTTACAGCTGATAACACGCTTTTGAACAATTGAAAACATTGTTCACGGTTAATGGTTTGACAGTTCCATCTAAGCAATTTTCAAGGTGAATATTTCAGTATGTTTTGTATGAATTTTCCTCTCATCATTATATTACATTGCTGTAAGACAGATAGGTAGATAACTGAAAACACACTCCTGTAAAATTAATTGATCATAATATTTTCTTGGTTTTCAATATTGGACTTTGTGTGATGTTATAATCCCACAATTCATACCTTGTGATTCGGTTCACTTTGGGGTTTAGAGTGTTCTAATACAGGGCTTTTCAACCTTTTCACTGACTGTACCACTTTAAGGCTATGGCAATATTTGAGTACCACCTAGCAAGGTGTCAAAAACTTGATGACCAAAACAAAAAACAAAAAGCCTGTTCAAAGTTGAAATTGCACTGAAATAACCATTTTTCACACTTATGACCATTGCAGCATGCCCAAGGTCATGTGATTTATATTTGGATGCTTGGCAACTGATTCACATTTATGATGATTACAGTGTTCCAGGGTCATATGATCCCATTTTGCAACCTTTTGACAAGCAAAGTCAATGGCAGGGCTGCTAGTGGCCAAGTGCTAAGGTGGAACTTCCTTCCTTCTCTCCCTTCCTTCTTCCCTGCCTCCTTCTTTCTCGTGCCCGCCTCCTTCTGAAGGAAGAATTTGAACACCCCCCCCCATATTTTCCCTCCTCCATATATTCATCAAACAAGGAAAAGCCCCCAGAGACAGAAAAGTGAAGCTGCTGAGGGAACTAGCTTAAAAAGGCACATTCCCCTTTAAGAATTACTACTGGCTAGAAAGGAAAGTTAATGAGTGCATCCGGCACTTAAGGAAGAAACAAAAACCGTAGTAAGTATTGGCTGCCAGCTAAGGCAGCCTCCCCAAATGGCTCCATTCATAAGTAAAGGAATGCTACAGGCAAAATCCATTCAGGAGAAAAATACTTCAAAATCCCTTGCAGCAAAACTTACAGCTAACAATAGCAGAACAATAGAAGCTAACAGGAGACATCAGCCAAATAGAAACTGCCAAACACTCCTTAAGAACACAAAGCCCACATTGCACAAATCCCAGAACTTCAAAGTCACAAAAGCACATAAGAATCCTTCTACTCTCCATCTCCCTCAGTGTCTTACCTCCAGCTGATGCTACCTTTCTTCATTCCTCCTGGAGCGCAACCCTTCCCCTGCTGCATTTCTTGCCTGTTCGTTGCTGCCAGCAGGTGGCTGCCACAGAAGTTGTAGATCGGCTCATGGCCGGCCTGCTTGGACTCCTTGATCTCCTCTCTTCTCCCCCCCACCCTCCTCCTTCCCCTTCGGTGCAGCTAGAGCTGACTCCACATCCTCCCAAGGCTGCTCCTTTTTTTCCCCTCTCCCACCCAAACTGCCTCCTTTTATAGCAGCGGTTCTCAACCTGTGGTTCGGGAACCCATTTGGGGTCGAACGACCATTTCACGGGGGTTACCAAACAATGCAGTCCGCCATTTTTCCCCCTTTTCCTTAGCTGTGCTACTCCCTTTTTATTCTATTGGCTTTTGAAAGCCAATAGGAATTGTCCAGGCTGTCTCTGCCCTGCTGAGCCCGCCAAAAGTCCCATTCTGCAAACGATGCTGCAAGTTGTCTGCAGCGAAGGTGAGCTGTCTGGAAGTTTCCACCCCTCCCTGCTGAGCAACTACTAAAAATGTAAGTAAAAGAGGGCCAGGGGTGGAAGGTGGGAGGCCGGCGGGCGCAGGGAGGGTTGCTGGCGCGTGTGGGGCCCAGCGGATGCCTTACCTCCCTTGGGCTGGGCCAGCTGGTGGCCCAGCCAGTGGTCGGCCTGCGCCGTCTCTGCCGCTTGCCAGCTATGCCTCGGCCGACGCAGGGGGCAGCACCATGCATGCGCAGCACTCCTGGGCAGGGAAAGTCCTTGACTTACGACCGGTTGGGTAGTCCTCGACTTACAACCGGTTGGGTAGTCCTCGACTTGCAACCGGTTGGGGGTCGCGGCATTAAAAAGGTTGAGAACCACTGTTTTATAGCTTCTCCTGTCTCCGCCCCCTCCTCCTCCTTTCTCAAGGGGAAGGGTGAGCCAGAAGTGAGCCTGGGGTGAGGCTCAGCCTCAGCCACTCTGCAGCTCCAGAGGACTCTCTCACAGTAAGTCTTTGCCTGCGCTGGCTCTTTCCCTCCCCTACTACACTTGGCTAGCAGGGCTGCGTACCACCTGCCACTTGTTAATGTACCACAAGTGGTACACGTACCACCTGTTGAAAAGCCCTGTTCTGATAGGAAGATGTATAATCCTAAAGTCTGCACACTCCATCATGAGGGAATCAAAATCATATGCCTGCCCACATTGCAAACCATATTATATTGGACAAATAGAATACATCATTTACATCAAAGAATTATGAAACACAAAACTACAATAAAGAATCAGGATTGTAAATATCTAACAGCCACCATAATGTTAAAACTAATCATATATTTGACTGGGAGAGTGAAATAGTAGACCCCATGAAACAACAACCCCCCTCCCCAAGATTTCCTAGAAGTCTGGCAGTCAAGCAAATGGGCTGCGAAGAGATTCATTGAGCTGGATACTATCTACCATCTACCAGGTACTTAAATTAAAATATCAATCATCAACAGACAAGGACCAATCAAAATGGAAACAGCAGCACTCCCAAGAATGAATTGATCGATACCTTGCAGGAAACCTCCAATCACCTATCAATCCTCCTGAGTTCAAATCTTAAATACACTAAAAATTCTACAAGGCAATCTTCTCTCTTTTTGAATGGCTACACTGAGAAAACATAGCAGACAGTTTTTCTGAAGCATCTGCAGAAAACCTGATCAGTACCTTGGTATTAATATCCCAAAATCTGGAGATCCCAGCTGCAAAGTATATAAAAACCAAGGTACCTCTGTTCCAAGAATTTTTTTTTTAATTTAACTTGTTAAAATTATTCTAAAAAGAGATAGTATGGTATAATGGTTAAGTGCTGGATTAAGACCAGTAAAAACCCACTTTTGTTACTGTAACAAATAGAGGTGAAGAACACAGACTATATTATCACATAATTCTTGAATTAATGATGAAAGGAAACCACTCAGGTTAGTGATGATTTGTATGTATAGACACAGAGCCATCTTCT